TCATGTCCTTTTTTCTGGGTCAGGATCCCACATTGCACTTAGGATCTTAGGCTCCTGATTTTCAGTCTGTTTTGTTTTATTTGGTTTTGATTTTTTAGTCTTTTTTTTTTTTCATGACCTTGATAGTCCTGAAAAGTACCAGTCAGGTACTTTATAGAATATCCCTCATTTTTATTTGGTATTTTCTCATGATTGGACTGGATTTATGGGTTTGGGGGGGAAGACCTCAGAAGTGAGGTGTCCTCCTCATCACATCATACCTGGGGTTACTTGATAGCTACATGACATCACTGACAATGTTGACCTTGATCTCTTGGGTAAGGCGGTGTTTGCCATGTTTTTCCACCCTCGGGTAACTGCTTTCCCTTTCCATACTCTACTCTTTGGAAACAATGCAGATTGTGTTAAAGAAATGCTCCTTATCAGGGTCCTCGATGGCACAGAGGGCGATGTTGTGTGATAAAGCACCAGTGTGGACACTTACAGTTGGACAGTGATTTCGATGAGTTGTACCTGTGTACGAAGACACTTAGAAAACCTTAGCTGATTTATTGTATTTTCTTTGTATGTATACGCAAGAATAATATATAATAAAAATCTCTGTGTATTTAAATCTCATGACTCTTTAAGCGGATATAAAGTAAAAAATTTTAAATGAGCAAAAGCACAGGAATTTGGCACAAATCCTCCCTTGGAACATAAATTATCAATGGGGGCAATATTGCTCCTAAGGTGGTGAAACTTGGTTCCGGGAGGAGGGGATGCAAAAACCTTAGATATTTCAATGGTTTGTGGCCCTCCAAAGCTCAATCCTTGACAAAAACTACATTATTGGTATTTAACTTCTCTCATTAAATTAAATTGAATTAAATTCTCTTTAGGGGATGATAATGAAAAAAAATGTTGAGAAATGCTGTCATAGAGGTTTACAAAATAGTGACACATTTTACAATGGATGGCCTCATGCTGTGGTGACAAAAACAAGGCTGGAACACTCAGCATAGGTTGGATTACAGTTTGTGACTCAGTTTCCCTACCTGTAAAATCACGATGGTTTGTGTAACAGGGTGGCTGTGGGAGTGAATGTGATGATCCATGTAAATCCATATAAAGTATTAGCTGTTGTTAGCATCAGCAGCAGCCCCATTTTATAAAAGAGGAAAGAGAAGGTCAGAGAGGTCAAGCCAATTCCTGCAGGGCACACAGCCTTGGAAGTGCCAGAGAGGAGCTTCAAACCTGCTAGGTTGGCTGGGGGAGAACAGATTTCCCCAGCTGAGTCTGTCCCATTCCTCCCTGAGGAGCTGATTCTGTCAAGGATCACCCCACCAGCAAGCCTGGACCGGCCTGGCTGCACGAGGAAGTCCATTCTTTCTGGAGGCTCTCTTGCAGTTCCTGAGCACAAAGGGTTGAGGTTATAGCTGGAGAATTGGGCAGTCGCTTGCTGCCCCCTGTGGGTAGAACTGGAAATGTCAGGCCCCGAGCCCTCCTTTGGTCTGATTCCTGGATGCTTGCTTCTCCCTCCTCTGCACTCCCTCAAAGTCTTTGGCACAATTTGGGCAATAGCAGTTTAAATTAAAATGCACAAATGTACATAACATTGGATTATGTATATATAATATATAATATATAATATACATAATAGTATGGTAGTATAAACTACTACGGATTCAGGCCACTGCAAATGTGAGCTGAGATTTGAGGGCATGTAGATGGGCGTTGGTTAGGGAGGGCCTCACTCAGCTTCAGGACATCCTTGTAAAGAGCTTCAAGATCTTTTGATAATGTCGGAGCCTACACTAGGCTCCGGGATCGGCGTGGACTCCTCTTGAGGGTTCTCTCTCGCCCTCTGCCCCTCCCCCCACTCGCACGCAGCCTTGCGCGCGTGCTCTCTCTCTAAAATAAATTTTAAGGGCGCCTGGGTGGCTCAGTTGGTTAAACGACTGCCTTCGGCTCAGGTCATGATCGCGGGGTCCTGGGATCGAGTCCCACATCGGGCTCCCGGCTCAGCGGGGAGCCTGCTTCTCCCTCTGACCCTCTCCTCTCTCATGCTGTTTCTCTCTCGCTCGCTCTCTAATAAATAAATAAATAAAATCTTTAAAAAAAAAAAAAATAAATAAATTTTAAAAATCTTTTAAAAAAGACATTTTGCTAAATGAAAAACTGAGGACAGAAATAAAAGAACGTTGCGCCGATATACAGATATTGGCATACACACTTTTTGTTGAAAAATATAAAAACGAAATTGCTAATCATTTTGGAAAGAGATAGGAAGGGAAGTTTCCAGTTTTTTTGTTTTCTTTTTTCTTTTAACCTTTTCCATACCGTGTGGTTTTCTCACATGGAGCATACGTGTATATATATTTTTAATGTCAGCAGAGGATTATGGAAGATTTGGAGTCTCTTCTCTGTTTCCCTCAGTATTAACTCAACATACAAAAGCAGTCACAACATTCTGATGGGGAGAAGGTCAGTAAAAAAGCAAGGATAGAATAAAATCCCATTTTATTTATTTATTTATTTATTCATTCATTCATTCATTCATTCATTTTAGAGAGAGAGAGGAGGGGCAGAGGGAGAGGGGAGAGAGAGAATCCCAAGCCGACTCCATGCTCAGTGCAGAGCCGGACTTGGGGCTTTATCCCACAACACTGTCAGGCAGATTACCTACCTAGTGCTGATCAGAGAATTCCTGATTGACTGGTTTAAGATTTCATTTCTGAAGAGCCAAAACTGTAATGAAGTTAAGTCTCTGTTTGGTGATGTGGGGATTAGCATAAGGCATTTTGGGCTTGTTGCCTTCTTCTTCTTCTTATTATTATTATTATTATTATTAATGTGTGAATGTCCCAGCTAAGGAAAAGGAGAGACCACTCTTTCCAAATCAAGTTCCAGACCTTCCACATATTGAACTGAGAACTATGTACTACTTAAAATACAATACTACTGTATATCACATACAAAATGAGAGAAAAACTATAAGGCCTGATAGCATTTTCATCCAAGGGCCAGAGGAAGATGACCCACACTGAAAAACATAACGCTTAAAAGGATGGAAGGAAAGAAAAATAGGAATGTTGTGGTTACGACAATAGCCCTGCTTGTTCATTAAGCAAATTACTTGTGATATCAGGGAATTAAAAAACCCAACTCATTGGAGGCCCAAGTGTTATGGCACTAGCAGATCAGGGTTTTTCAGTACATCCTATGCAACTATTTTCTCTTATCAAACCCTCAAAACAGAGTGGCTGAGACTCAACATTTTATAATGAGAAAAACCAAACCTTGCTACTGTTCTGCTTCGGGTAATGAAGGCATCAAGAGTGAGCCCAAGAGAAATGAAATTTATGTCCATACAAAGACTTATATACTGATATTCACAGCAGCTCCATTCATTAGGGCTCCAAGCTGGAAACAACCCAGGTGTCCATCTACAGGTGAGTGGATTAAAAAAAAAAAAATCAAATATATGTATACAATGGAATAACACTTAGCAATACAAATGTAGTACTTTTATAACCAACAAGAGGGGGGCACCTGGGTGGCTTTGTTGGTTAATGGGCTGCCTTTGGCTCAGGTCATGATCTCAGGGTCCTGGGATCAGGCTCCGTATCAGGCCCTGCATCAGGCCCCACATCTCTCGCTCACTCTCTCTAGCATGCTCTCTCTCAAATAAATAAAATCTTAAAAAAAAAAAAAAAAACAAGCGGAAGAATTTCAAACACATTAGGCTCATTGAAAGAACTCTAGCTCAAAAGAACATATATAGTATAATCCCAAACATATAGTATATTTCCATGTATATGAAGCTTCTACAAAAGACAAATCTAATCTATAGTGAGAGAAAACAGGTTTGGAGTTGCCTGGGGTGAACAGTAAGGAGGGGTGGTTAACTGGGAAGGGAAACAAGGGACATTGTGGTAATGGAATGTTCTAGATCTTGATTGTGGAGGTGATTAGATAGGTGTGTAAACATGACAATATTCATCAAAACGTACAATTAAAATGAGTGCATTTTACTGTTTATAAATTATACCTCAGTAGAATATATTTTAAAAATTTTTTTCCAAATGCAGTTGACGTGTATTTCACATAATACCATCATTCAGCAAAACCTGAAAAAACTAGTAAGTACTGATTAGGTTTATAAAAGTAGGTTATCTATTAAACTCTCAGGGGTGCCTGGCTGGCTCAGTCAGTAGAACATATGACTCTTGGGTGCCTGGGTGGCTCAGTTGGTTAAGCGACTGCCTTCAGCTCAGGTCATGATCCTGGAGTCCCTGGATCGAGTCCTGCATCGGGCTCCCTGCTCAGCAGGGAGTCTGCTTCTCCCTCTGACCCTCCCCCCTCTCATGTGCTCTCTCTCTCATTCTGTCTCAAATAAATAAATAAAATCTTTAAAAAAAAAAAAAAAAGAACATACGACTCTTGATCTCGGGGTTGTGAGTTCAAGCCCCACAGTGGGTGTAGAGCTTACTTAAAAATAAAATCTTTAAAAAAAAAACCTCTCAAAATACAGCAATAAAAGAGAACAGAACATCCAAGTGCACACAAAACACTCAAGAGAACACTGCGTTTTAGGAAATCGGGATTTGGGGACACCCGGGTGGCTCAGTCAGTCGCACATCGACTATTTCAGCTCATGTCATGATCTTGGGTTCCTGAGATCGAGCTCCACCTTGGGAGCTTGAGATTCTCTCGCCCTCTGCCCCTTCCCCCACTAGCCATTAGCGTGTGCTGTCGCTCTCTCAAATAAAAAAATAAATCTTAAAAAAGGAAAAAGAAAAGAAAGGAAATGGGAGATCTCTCAAAGGAGCTTCTTGGATTCAGGAGCCCCAAGGCCCTAGAAACCGAAAGTGGGCGTCAAACCGGAAGTGTGGCAGGAGACGGGATGCAAAGGATGAGGTCCAGCCTCTCCAGGCCCCACCTACAACCGGAACTTGGGGCCCAGCTCCACATGCCAAGAGCGCAGGCGCACCTCCTAACTCAACCAATCAAGACGAAGTGAGGCGGGCATTCCTACGTAAATGGAGCACTCAAACAGGAAGTGTGGCAGTTTACCTACAGAACTGCAAGCGGCGTCATGGCGGCCTACGAGCAGGTTCAAAAGGGGCCCCTGAAACTAAAAGGCGTTGCAGAGCTCGGCGTCACCAAGCGGTGAGTCCCCGAGAGCTCCGCAAAAGCTTGTCTTCTGCCCCCTTAAGCCTCTTCTAGAGTCCCCGAGCTCTTGCTCCCTGATCCGCTCTCATCTTCTCTCCCCGTTTCTCCTCTCTCAGGAAGAAGAAAAAGAAGGACAAAGACAAGGCGAAACTCCTGGAAGCGATGGGAACGAGCAAAAAGAACGAGGAGGAGAAGCGGCGCGGCCTGGACAAGCGAACCCCGGCCCAGGCGGCCTTCGAGAAGATGCAGGAGAAGCGGGTAAGGCGGGATGCCCCGCGCAGCAGGTCTGGGTCTCCGGAGGTGGAGGGAGAGGCAGGGCCGGACGACTCGAAATTGGGGTGAGCCTCGGGCCTCTCGGAGGGGTGGTGAGTGGTCAGAGAGACCTTGATTCCGGGAAGATGCTACGTGGGTGAGGAAGAGTCCACGGTTGGGGGAGCTCCCAGGACGGGAAGCGCTTCTGGTCAGAGTGGATGGCAGAGAAAGTTAGAGCTGGCGTTGAAAGGCCAGAACTGGAGATCGGATTTGGATTCCACCGCAGTGTCTCATTTGCCCAGTGAGAGGACTAATGACTCCTCTTTCTGCCTCAGTTTACTTATCTGTAGGGATCAGGATAGTGCTGTCTCCTGAAAGGGATGGGAACTTTAGATGAAGTCATTCAGATAAAGCATTTGGCACTCGGTATGGCAAAAAATCAGTGCTCAGTTGATGTTAGCTGTTGATATTAAGTGGTGATGCTCCGGGCTAGAAGTTTCCACAAAGTCTGTGTCCATGATGACTTTGTTTGACAGATTCAAATAGGTTGTGTTTGTATCCTACGTTCGCTCCCACGACGACATTTGGCAGTGGTTGAGGACATTTCTGTTTGTTAAAACTTCAGGGTGTGCTGGTGGGGGTGGGGAGTAGTGGGATGAGGCCAGGGATGCTGCTCTACATCCTACAGTCATCAAGACAGCACCCCCCACAGCAAAAATGATCTGGCCCAAAATGTCAGGTGTTGTCCAGGCTGAGAAACCCTAACCCTGATCTGGGTGATTTGGTCCAGTAACATCAGGAAGAGTTCACTCATCATTCTCAGGCTTAATTGAGTCATTTAAAAAAAAAAAGGTGAGACTCCGAGGCTTTGACAAGACCGACCTGGGTTCCATTCTGCCTCTACCTCTTCTTGGTGGTGGTGTAACTCTGGGCAGGTTGGTTAACCTCCCACACCTCATTTTCTTCACCTGTAAAGTGGGGCTGAAGTCCTTACCTAACAGGTTTGTGGTGAGAATTTAACAAATGAATGCATTTAAGTTCCTTCCCTGAGGTTATGGCCCCAGGCTGGGCTGGGATGTTACTCCTGGAGTGAAAGTGGGGTGGAGGAGAGTCCCATCAGGTGACTAATAACAGTGGCTCAGAATAGGACAGTAATAGTGGAAGCAGTGGAAGGTATCAGGTTTGGGATTGATTTTGGAGCAAGAACAGCAGGATTAGTTGATGGATTGGGTGTGGACTGGGAAATGAGGAATGACCAAGATTTTTGATGGGAGATATTGGGAAAATGAAGGTTCTATTTACTGCAGTAGGTAGGACAGCAGGTAAAGCGGGCTTCTAAAGCAGGGCATCAAGACCTTGGCTTTATACTATATGCTGGCTAACTGAACATTAAAAAAAAAAAAAAAAGCCTTGGTTTTAGAGAACACTTGAATGTTTGAACAGCTCTTAGAAATTCAAATGGAGAATTCTTGTGAACAGTCTGAGATCTGAATCCGCAGTTTGGAGGAGCAGTCTGGGCCTCTCCTGCAAACATTCTGGCGTTGCTGTGGGACTGGATGAGATCCTCTGAGGAGGCACAGTGACAGAGATGAGGTCCAGGATCTGAAATTGCAAAGGATCACGGGAAGGAGGAAAACCAGGAGAGTGTGCCCTTAGGAGCTGAGTGGAGAAAGTGTTTTAAGAAGGAGGAAGGGATTGACGATGTCATGCTGCCAAGGGTCTTGTGGGGTGAGTACTGAGAGCCCTTAGTTGGCATTTGGAATGAGGAGGAAGAGTGGCTGATTAGAGGGGATCCAAGGGAGGGCGGGGAAAGGCAGAGACAAGATGCAGAAATAACTCTTGGGAGATCTATCAAGAGGAACAGAAATGAACCTGTAGCTAGAGGGTGGTGGAAGGTCAAGGGGAATTTTTTGTTGCTGGCATTGAAAACTGGAAGTACTGCTGTGGGTTTTGTTTTGAACCAGGAGAGAGACAGGAGAAAGCGTGGGCAAAGGTAGGTAGAATTGGGAAATGCGGATTCCCTTCTGGAAGGGTGTTTGATTGAGCACAGTGAGCACGAAGGCTGGACAGTTCTTGGAAGAAGGGCCCATGGGGCAGGGCCCCAACCTGAAGGGTTAGGGCTTGGCATCTCCAGCCCCATCACCCACTGTGCAGGCTGGTCCTCATGTTCTCTATCTGTGAAGTGGGGGTGGCAACAGCACCCAAGACACCCTGTGAACTTGGTACATGAAGTGGGGCGAGGAAAGGCAGAGCCCTACTGAGTGCCTGGCTTTGGTGGCAGCTGGTCAGGTCAGTGTGGCCTCTTGTGAGGAGGCACAGGCCTCACGGGGGCTCACAGCATCAGGAAGAGAGGCGGGGGCGGGGGGCAACTGGATGCAGAGGAAGACGGGGCAGCAAATGAGATGAGGGACAGGGAGGAGCAGCCAGGTGGGGGCCAACAGGGTCCTATCCTGAGGGTTGGCTCAGCTCACCTGGATAGTTCTCCTGCTTGCCTCACTTGGAATCTGTGCAGTCAGATGGCAGCTGGGGTTGGAGGCCCAACTGGGCTAGAACATCCAAGATAGCTTCACCGTCACATGTCTGATGCCTTGTTGCTCCTCCCATGGCCTCTCTCCCTATGTGTCATCTTATCCTCCAGGTCCTTTCTTTCCAGTAAGGTCATCAGACTTCTTGCATGGTGGCTGGCTTCCACGAACACAAAGCCAAAGGCTGCCGGGTCTGACGACTTCAGCCCAGCACTGGCACCGCATTCTGTTAAGTAAACGGAGTCACGGGGCCAGCCCAGAGTCATTGTGGCAGAGAACTGCACTAGGGCACCAGTACCAGGCAGCGTGGGTCACAGGGTGGGGTGGGGGGCGCCACAGTCGGCTGTAGACACCCATCAGTAAACGTAGAGCCAAGTGCAGCCCCAGGTTTGTCTGGCTCTGCGTCCCGTGCTCTTTGCTCTTACGAGGTCCCATCCGGTGTTGGGAATGAGGAGTGGGGCAGGTCAGGGTGGTGCAGGATACTCATCAGGGTGATCTGGATCTTGGAGCCCTCATGGCACCGTGTCAGCAGCACCTACTCCCGTGAGCTCCTCCCATGTGTTGGGCCCTTCACCTTCCTCATTTTTCATCCTTCTTCAAACTGCATCTGAAACTTTCTTTTTCTGCAAAATGGGAATGCGGTCGGTTGCCCAGGGATGCAGGAAGCACACATACAGCTCCCAGCAGAGTCTATTCATGTCAGCGCTAGTTATTCCTTGCCACTCTGACCAGAGGGCAGCCAACCAGGGTCCCTGGTGGGACATGTTGGGGCCGGGCATCCCTGTCGGACCAGCCTGAGTAGAGTTAAGGGAGGGACAGGATGTACACCCTGAGACCTCCAGCCGTGCTAGGTGTGAGAGCCAAGCTGGTGGGGACTACCGTCTTCCACCCCATGCTGGCCTGGGCTGTGTCGAGGGTGTGAACTCACCTCCCATGTCTATCCTTTCTCCAGCAAATGGAAAGGATCCTGAAGAAAGCATCCAAAACCCACAAGCAGAGAGTGGAGGTAAGTCACATGCCCAGTGGGGAAGACCAGGCTATGTAGGGCCCCAGCTGGGCCCAGAGGCTAGGAGCCTGGCAGAGGGAGCCCTTGGAGTGTTGGGGTGGGGGGTGGGATACCCAACAGAAGCGACACCTCCCCAGGGTCATTTAAGGATGAACCCAGGGTTCAAGGCTGGGTGGCTTTGAGAGGAGGGGGCTTACTGAGGAGAGGCAGAGTGTGGAGAAGTGGGAGTGGGCAGTGCCACACAATCCCAGTGCCCTGTCTGAGGCTGTACTGATGTGGGTTTTCTTCTCGGCTTTCCCAGGACTTCAACAGACACCTGGACACCCTCACGGAGCACTATGACATTCCCAAAGTCAGCTGGACAAAGTAGCCTCCCCACCCAGGGTATGGAGTGGCATCAAAGGGAAGTGGAAGGCTAAGTTGGGGTTATGTTTCGTGCCTTTGGTATTTTCTAGAAACATTCTTTTACACACACCCTTGCGTCTTCTGCTGAGACGAGTGCTTTCCAAAGCAGTGTGCCCTCTTTCTGGAACTTGATTAAAGTAAGACTGTCCTTTTACTCTATTTTGGTTTGTCGGTAGCATAGAAGATAAACCTTTTTAGGCTGGACTGGAATTTTTTGCAAGTTTATCCAGAGATTAAGTTATTTCTGTGTGTCACAGAAAAGTGTCTTTACCCCCCAAGTTGCATCTAACTCTGATAGTCAGCCAGCTCTCTTTCCCTGGGTGAAACAGACTCCAGAAGATAAGGAGTTAATGCCCCCACGGGGCCCTGCGTGAGCTGTCCTCCCAGGCTCCCTCTAGCATGGGGCTTAGGCTGTGCCTTCCGAGCCTAGGGAAGCCACTTGAACCTTCATGGCCTTCGGAATGCCTCCCCAGCCACCCTGGTGTTTGAGACAATGCAGCCTGGAAAGCGGGACAACCGCCTAAGGCAAGGATGGAATGCACTCCTTGTCCCTGCCTGAGCCTGCGGTCGGCATGCAGCCTCTTCCCCTAGTGTCCCTATTCCAGACATGTCTAGAGGGTGTTGCCATGGCAGACGTCGTTACTCAAGCAGGGCATCCCTTTGTAATGGAACCCTGACACAGCCTGCCTCACTACCCTCAACCCGAGGCTCTGAGCACCTCCTGGGTTTATTCAGAGTTGGCACATAACATGTAGCCCGCTTGGCCTTTCTGGCCTAAGGACACCTCAGGGGTGACAAGACCTGGGCAGAGCCCCAGCACAGACAGTGCAGTCAAAGGGGAGGACCCAGGTCCTGGTGCTGGAGAGCCATAATCTCTGAGGACCTACATGTACCTACTTGCTGAGGATCAAACTGCATATACTATTGGGAGGAAGACTCTGTTGACCCTAGGTAGTGACAGAATAGCAAAGTCAAAAGAGAAAAACCAAGTGTTGGGTTCGGGGCTGTCACCTGTGAACAGAATAAAGCAAAAAATGGTTATGAGACAGAAGTCTGAGTGTCTTAAATTATAAGCGGTTTGATTATCACTAGAAACACTGCTTTTTGGATTTATTGCACATGTAGAATGCACATACTGCAAAGTGACCATTTACCCTCAACCTGGAAGAAATGAGGTGACATGTTTTTCCACCTGTGGCTTGCAGCCCACCTGTGAGGTAATATACTGTCAGTAGTAGTCGCTCCTTGGGCCAGAGTCCCTAGAGTTCTCCACAGCCTAGCCAAAAGGCACGTGGAGGCCTTTTCCATCCATGAGTCAGCTGCTGGGGTTTGTGAGCATGGCGGGGTGCTGTGAGAAGCCATTGTCGGGATCCTGGAAGATAGATACTCCATCTCCCTGCCTGCCCAGTCTAAAGCCAGATGACTTAAAACAGCAGGATTTCTCTTTGGTGGGTCCACTGCTGGGCTGGATGGCTCTATGCCATGTGGTGTAGTTCACCTGTGTGGCTCTCTTAACTTGCCTGGGGCCAGAACGGCTAAGATGGCAGTTACTCCTTCTTCAGAATCTCTGTGTAGTCTATTCCATTGGCCACCACAAGTCACATTGCCAAACCCAGTCAGGGAGAGAACTCCACGGGCGCGGACACCAGGAGACATGGTTGATTCAGGCCATCGCTGTTAGTCTACCACAACGTTTCTCGAACTCTTGTGGATGTTAGACTCTTCTGGGAGCATTAAGAACCACCGATGCTGCCTGGGGTGGGGTTCAGTCCCTGAGATTTTCCAGAGCTCCTCAGATGACCCTAACAGGCAGCAAAGTTTGAGAAACCCTGATCTACTGCAATGGGTCTGGTCTTTTCTGAGATGGTGCAGAGGTCAAATCTACATTAAGTGTAAATGCCAAGGACGGTGACTTGAATCCCCCCCCACCTCAACAAATGGAGAATGGAGTAATTTATGTAAACAATGTTTACTGTGATGGTGCTCTTGGCACTTGGGTGTCTTGTTTCTTCAAAAGACTTTTGTCCAATCTGTTCCTCCCAGCCCTGCCCCCCCATACTGATTTTAAACATCTAAACATCGCCTAGAGCAAGCCTGAAAGGAAATGCTCCATAATGAGAGGGGTCACCTCTTCTGGGTGGTTTTTCTTTTTCTCTTACACTTTTTGGCATTTCCGTGGGTGTTTTTTTTTTTTTCCTGTGAAGTGTGTAATTTTGTAATTTTCAAAAGACATGTTTTCCTAAAACATTGAAATATTTTGGGCAAACTATGAGGCTAGGTATAATAGGGTATTGTACAAGACAATTGTCAAAAACTCTCTCCCAGACGTTTTGTGAAAGAATGCTTCCAGCCCAGGATTTACTTGTCTTTAAATACTCCAGTTTTCTCCTCCAGATTTCCTTGCACTTCATCTCTATCCTAAGCCGAGGATATATTGCAAAAGCCCAAAGGAGATAGAAGGGAAGATCAAAAGTCAGAGGCAGGCAGCCTGAGTAAAATGGCCTTGATGCTGCAGGGCTGGGGTCCTCAGAGCACTATGATGGTTCACGAGGACAAAATGCAGGCATATCTCCACAGCCGGAGTGTTCACAAAAGTGAGATACTCGATTGGTCAGGGGTCACAATGTGTATCACCCACTGGGGTCACTACCTACAGAAATGAGAGAAGTGTTTTCACCGAGGTTCGGTGGGGCGTGGTTTTCAGATCATCAATAGGCACTGACGAATGTTGACACTGACACTGACAGGTAACAAGTAGTGACTTGTTGGTAAGGCTTGAGTGCCATTCCGAGAGTTTGGCCTCTTTCCAAGTAACCACCACCTTCCCTTCCCCTATAAAGCGTGTAATAATTAGTGACTATATTTGTTCCTAGAACCCCCACCAGACTATGAGTTTCCTGGGACTGGGCCCAAGGTGGGTTCTACCACCGGTATGTCACCTCACTTGGCCCACGGAGGCCGGGCGGGGGTTTCCAACTGCCCTGGCCTCCTCGCCCGGCCGGGCACCTGGAGAGTGCCCGGCGTCAGTCGGCCCCGCCCCTCCGGGCCTTACTTCCGGATGCTTGAGGCAGGAGCGGGAAATAAGGTCACATCGGGCGTACTGCGCCTGCGCGCACTCCGCCTCGCGCCTGCGCCTTTCTGGCAGCCCCCCCCTCCCCGACCGGACATAACGGTCGCGCGCGGCTCCCCGGACCGGAAGTGGAGGCGAACTGTCGCGGGACGCGCCCGGCCTTGCTCAACGCCCGGCAGTCCCCGCCGTCGCCGCCGCCCTCGGCAGGTGCCGAGGCTTCCCGCAGCCGTCATGTCCGCCAGCGCCGTCTACGTGCTGGACCTAAAGGGCAAGGTACATATGGGTCCCCACCCTCCCCGTTGCCAGGCAGCCGGTGGGGCCTCGCCCCCTGGGGGGGACCCACCCTGTTGCTAAGTAACCCGCCAATGGGACCCACCCTAGTCTTAGGGAGGCTGGTCGGCCTCACCTGAGGGCCCCACCCTGTTGCTAGGTAACCTGGCGGGGGCTTCGATCCGGGAGCCCCGCCCTGTTGCTAGGCAACACAGCTGCACGGCTCCCCTCCCACTGTGGGTCGGGTGCTCAAGCCTCCGTGGGGGCATCGGGGAACCCGAGGCAGCGGGGAGCGCGGGCCGCAGCCGGTTTCGAAGCCAGGACTGGCGCTCTGGGGCTGTGCGACCCTTGGCCAGAGGTGGTGAGGCGTGTCAGGGACAGTGTGCCCTCGGGCCAGTCCCGCCCTCTTTATCCGGCGATTTCTCTTTGCCAGTCCCCGCATGAATTCCAGGATTAAGTGAAGCGGGTGGTGGGAGGGCCATTTTACAGAGGGAGAAACTGAGGCACAGAGAGGCGCGCAACCTGCCCAAGGTCACACCAGCCACAGAATGGCAGGTGTAGGAGTCAGCCGATATTTGGGGAGCACCCGTACGGGGTGCTTAGGCTTGGGCTACCTTTGGTGAGCAAAATCGGAGTCCTTCTGGAGCTCACAGTCTGGTGGGAGAAAGGGGCACTGATCTCAGAAAGCACACATCAATGTCAGTTGCCATGATGAAACAGTGAGAATGTAATGGGAGACTATGCCTGGGCTGGGGGTCAGGGAGGGCTTCCGGGAGGGAGTGACAAATCTGGCTGAGACCTGAAGGAAGAGTTGCACATGACTAGGACCCAGGTGCCATTCCCAGGGGACTTTGGGAAAACTTCTTAAAGGAGGGATTTCAAAGCCTTTCCAGGTGGGCTGCCGCCTTCCCCCAAGTCTGTCCTGGCTAGAAGGCAAGTGAGTATTGGCCTCTTGCATCTGGAAGAACAGGAACAGTACCAACAATGCTAAACAAGTCCCGCATGGATCACTGGAAGAGAGGTGGGCCTCGGGCCCAGCGGGGGCAGGCAGGAGTTAGCTCAGAAGCAGTGGGGAGTGAAGAGGTGAAGTGGCTATCCCTTCCTGCCCCCCTCCCAGAGTACCCCGTTCTAGCCCTTTCCGAGAGTCCCTTGAGTGGGTCGCCTGCCCTGGATGCCACCCAAAGTCAACAGCTAGTGAGGCCCAGTGCTGGACTCCCTTCCCCGGCCCTCAGGCAAGGGAAGACACAGGGCACACCAGGGGCCTGGTGGGTGCAGTGTTCCCAGAGTCCTTGTAGCATGTGTTCTTCCTTCCACGCTGGCCACTGTGTCCCGAGTTCCCAAAGGCTGCCTTATCTCAGATCTCTCATTCCTTCAGCAAACATTTCATGAGCACCTAGCATGCACCAAGCCCAGTGCCTACTCTTATCGTGACTACGCAGTTAGGGCTGAGTTCAAAACCCATCTCTGCTGCTCAGCTGTGTGACCTGAGGCAAGTACCTTCTCTTCTCTGAACCTTGTTCCTCACTGCTCACACAAGCTGGTTATGGTGTTATTGTGCAAACTCTCTGAGCAGATGTTTGAGACAGGCTAGCACCACCTATGGCCCACAGTCCTTGTTAATCCTGTCTAGGGCCTCGGGCTCTAACAGGGGAGACACACGGAAGCTGATGGATCCAAATGGTCAGATCTAGGTAGCTTGTAAGGGCATGGACACAGCCCCGGGTAGTATAAATGCCAACCTCAATTTTGGTTGCAGAAGGAGAGGTAGTTACAGAAGGCTTCCTGGAGGAGGGGGGTGCCAGAGCTGGGACCAGGTGACAGTCAGGTGGACAAGGAGGCATCGCAGTTGGCCTGAGGGGTCAGGGGCAGCCTGCTGGGGCTGGTGGGCCGGAAGACCCGGGTAACACTGGAGCCTGGAGGATGGCACCAGCAGGGCCATGGGTGGTTGAGGATGTCCAGATGGGAATGAGGAACAGAGGGGACCAGTCTGATCCCGAGAAGGAGGAGCCACCAGAGGAAATTGTAGCCTGGGAAGAGCATGACCAGACCTGCCTTTCGGGAAGCTCCCAGGGCAGTCATGGACTTGCCTCCCATCCTCAGCAACGATCATGCTATTTATTACTCCATTCCCCATGGACCTCAGGTTTTAAAAGACCTTTTGTGCAGACTATATTTAATAAAAATAAGGTAATGGCACATTAAGAAATTCATGACCACACGTCTGTCTGCCAGCCAGAACCTCTGATCACCAAAGAAACCAGCCACATTTAGCTGCTAGAAAGCCCTCATGGACACTTCTTTGCCCTTATCTTTCTTGTTTCTCTGCAGCTTCTAACACCACTACCATACTCCTCAGTGGGCTCCCATTGGCCTCCAAGTTGCTACTCCCTCTTGTTTTGCCCATTTCTGTCACCGTCTCCTGGCCACTTCCCTTGGATGTTGACTCCTCCTGCTTAGGCCTAGGAGTCCCACCCTCACTGTCCCTCTCCTTGGGCAGCCTTTGACTCACGTCCGTGTGCCAGTGACTCAAGTTTGTACCGCAGTCCGGAGTACTTATGTGGAGATCCACTGTTCTCTGGGATACCTCGGAGGTCCCACAGCCACCACAAACCTGGCATTTCCCAAAAGGAACTTGCTGCCACCCCAGACCTACTCTCTCCCCATCTCAGTGAGTGACACCACCGTCCATGGGACTGCCCTCATTGGAGACCTGGGCATTATCCCCGCCTCCTTTCTCTCCTCATGCCCATGTTCACTCCACAGACATTCACTGAGCACCCACTGGCGTCAGGCTCTGTTGTGGGTGCTGGGACACAGTCGTGAACAAGATGGAAGTGGTTACCGTTCTCAGGGAGTCTTAGACTCTGGCAAAAGGGACAGACCATAAAAGAGGATAGAAATTACAGTGCAGCAGTGTTGTGGGCAGTGAAGGAAAAGTGGAGTTGGGGTAAAGAGGGACAAAATATGATCTCTTTGGCAGGGCAAGCAAGGAAGACTTAGAGGAGGTGCCATCTGAGGTGAGGCTTGAGCAACTAGAAGAGGCCAGGGCATTCTGGGCAGAGGGAACTGCACGTGCAAAGGCCTTGAAGCAGGAATAGATGTGGATAGTTCAGAGAGCAGCTAGGGGACCAGGAAGGCTGGAATAGAGTGACCTGGGGGTGAGGGTGGGGGCCAGATGGACAGAGAGGTGTTGGCGGGGCCATGAAGAATCAGTTTGCCATGAGATTCAACTTGCAGTTTGTTTTCAGCATGAGGGGAGACTGGGGTAGACAGCAGTTTCAGCAGGGAGAATCCCAATGTGAATTCTGCTTAAGAAGACCCCTCTCGCTTTTTTGTGGGGGTCAAGAGCAGCCATAAGGGTAGGGGTTTGTCACCTCAACATTGCCTGCCTCCCTTCAATCTGTCCTGTCTCCTGCCTTTGTCCTCTCATCTGGGACCTGCAGCCCAAGCTCTGAGGTTGTCCTCACTCCACCTAACCAGCGCTCCCAGGTCCCACCGTGGGCTGCACCCCTGACTCTACCCTGTGGCTCCAGCCACCCTAGTCCCTCTGCCTCTATCCCCCCATCCCCTCGGGCCTCAGTTTGAAGGTCACACCCTCGGGAGGCTCTCAGTTCCTTCTAAGCAATGCAGGGATTCTGTTTTGGTCACCTCTGTGTCCCCAGGCCCAGCATGGTGTGCAGTAGAGGGCACCCAGTGCCTGCTTGTTGGATGAGCTGACCTCTTTGCAGCCCTGGTAATGGAAGTGAGCAAGGGAAGTTGCTCTCTGCTCTTTCCTTTGAGCATTCTGGGGGCTTGGGGCTCCCTGCCAGCTGCAGCCCCCAGAGTTGTATACCTGGGGAAGAAGATGGGCCTTGGGAAGCCCAGGAAAGCAGTTTAGGGAGCAGAAGGGGCCGTGCAGGGGGTGAGAACTGGTTAGAATCTGGACTCGCCTTTGCTGGCTGTGTGACCTCGGGCCGGTGGTGCCAGCTTTCTGGACATCACTGTGCATCTCTCTCAGACTAACAGTCCCGCCTTGTGGCAGGGCCGGTGTGTATTCCCGGCAAGGAGTATATGTCGGGGTGCACGGGAGTCCCTTAGCCCAGGCCTGGCCCATGTGCCCGTCAGCTCACCCACTGGGTGCTGGGTCCCTAAGGCCTTCTGGACCTCAGCAGGAAGAGGGCATAGACCAGGAAAGGGAAACTAGGAAAGAGGTTCTCGTTTTGATGCTTTCTTTCCGATTCTCTCTCTGTCCTGGCTTGAAACAACAAAGACAGTGTATTTTGTGGGACTGCAGGTTCTGAGGCCGGCGCCGCGCCGCGCGGTCAGCTCCACAGGGCCCAGCTCAGCTCGGGGCTGAGTCCTGCAGCAGCTGTCCCCCCGGGCTCGTGGGAGCGGCTCTAGGCCGTGTCTCCAGATAGAGCCTCTCGCAGCCTGGCAGACCCTCGGCTGCCTCCTTGTCCCTTCAGGGAGGGGTCGCTTACGTGGACCAAACTGCATTTCTTTGATGAGTTCAGTCACTGTGTAAACCCAGGAAGCCGTATGCATACACTCCATCACCCTCTGAGGCTTCCTTACACCCCTTGTGTCCAGCCCGTCCCCAGGCCGCCACTGACGTGCTTTCTGTCACCACTTCCGAGGGCTTTATGTAAGTGGAATCCCGTGGGACGGGATATGCTGTCCGTTGTCTGGTTGCTCACCTGGCCCGGTGGTCCTGGGAGGCCCCTGAGCTGCCGCCCGAGTCAGTAGTCACTCCTCGTGGCTGAGGGGCCTTCTGGGCTATGGATGGACACAGTTCTTGTTTCTGTTCATCTGTTGGAGGACATTGGCTCTCTGTCCAGCCCAGTCCATGTACAATAAAGCTGCAGTGAATACAGGTCTTCACGTGGATGTAGGGTTTTGTTTCTCTTGGGTAAATACTTTACCTAAGAGAGGAATGGCTGGGTCTTAAGCTAGGTTTACCTGTGTGAGAGCCTGCCAGACTTTACCAAAGTGCTTGTCCTGGGTTAAGTCTCCGGGTACCAGTGTCCCCTGAACAGGTACCCTGACACAGCGAAAAGTGGGGTATGTTAGCATAGGAAAGGCTCTGGGAAGGTCTGCAGCAAGAGCCTACAGGAAGCTGTTTTAACCTGGCATCTCCCAGTTGACTCAGTCCTGGACCGTTGCCCCATATTCCCCTCCCCTGCAGAGCACCCGGTTGGCCCCTGTGGAGTTCACTTTGGGAAATGCTCTCCTTGAGGAATTCCCTGGGGGACAGAGATCAGCATGGCCTGGAGTCTCTGATGGACAGGGGTGTGACTAGGGTCCCTGTGGTGAGGGAGGTTGGCGTTCTCACCTCCCCACCCCAGTACCTGGCTTGTGGGGCTCACAGTGAAAGCAGTGTCCCCCCCCCCCCCCCCCACTCCCGGCCCAGGTGCTCATCTGCCGGAATTACCGTGGCGACGTGGACATGTCAGAGGTGGAGCACTTCATGCCTATCCTGATGGAGAAGGAGGAGGAAGGGATGCTGTCGCCCATCCTGGCCCACGGGGGAGTCCGCTTCATGTGGATCAAGCACAACAATCTGTATCGTATCCCTTTGCGGGGGAGCTCCCAGGGACCTCCTGTGTGCGCGCACACACATGGGCAACCGAGAGCTTCCAGTACCCGGCCTCGCCTGGCTCCAGGCTGGCTCAGGCAGCCCCTCCCGGAGTTCCCTGCGGCCTGAGGGGATGAGCGGGGAACACACAGGAGCAAATGTGATGGCTGCTAGGAGAGGAGAGGGTACGGCAGGGGACCTCATCTAGTCTGGGGATCCAGGAAGACTTCCCTGAGGAGGTGACATCTGGAGGAGACCTCAGGAAGACCAGGTGTCCACTCTCCAGAGCAGTAGGCAGACACGAGGAACGATAGGCCAGGACAGGAGCTCTGCAGAGGGAAAGCGAGGCTCATTCTGGAAGCCGCAGTGGGGGTGGCTAGAGCGCAGGAAAGGGGGCGTGCGGTGGGAGTGAGGCCCAAGTGGTCAGCAGCACTGAGGGGTCTCCTAGTATATCACCTTTGATGGGAAGCCCTTGGAGGGTTTTAGGCAGAGGGGTGACACAAAGCCAGATGTGCGTTTGCGAAAGGTTTCCGGCTGTAGCGCAGAGGCCAGACTACAGGGCACAGGAGCAGGTACGGAGAGGGGGCGACAAGGCAGGGGTCAGAGTGTGCGTGTTCACGCGCCCATTGCAAGTGCCTCGTGCGCACATTACAGCAAGGGTGCTGGCCTGTGACCCTCGTCTGGCACCCTGAGGTCCAGCTCCTGCAGCCTCTGTTTCTCCTTCCCCTCGCTCTCTGGAGGGCCCGGGGGGCAGCTCTACAGAGTCCCCCAGGCGGCCTGTAAGCCAGGAGTTGGCCGTCTGTGAAGCCGCCCTGGGTCTGGGCGGTGGCTGCCCGGGTGTGGAGGTGGCGATGGTGTGAGCTCAGCAGGAGCCGTCTGACCAGTTTCCAGCCGGGCCCCGGTCTCACATGTGGGCAGCCAGGGAGGACACGGCAGTGGCTTACCTCTCTGGGTCCTGCTGCCCATTACCCCCTTCCTGCTCCCTAGTTCCACTGTCGGGTGACAATTTCCAGCAGGGCCCGGCCTTGAGGGCCTACTGTCCCTCCTTAGAAAGCACCTAAAGGGCATGTGGTCCCAGCCTGGAGGAGGGAGGCCAGCACTCCTTTGACTGGCCCCGCATCCGTTTCCTGGGTCCCTGCTCTAGGCAGGAAATGAGGTGGACGTGGGCCCTGCCGTCCCTTTCCCCTGGAGCTCCCAGCTCAGCCCCAGGGGCCAGGTGGCACAGGCGTGTCATGAATGGGCACGTCCAGGGCACAGCACATGGACCTGCAGTGGAGGACCCAGCCTCCCCAGGTAGCTCGAGGCTCTTTAGGGAAAGGAGCAGGAAGTGCTCAGCACGTGCTGACCCTTCCCTATGTGGGAGGGAGAGTCTGTACCACACACTGTATACACATCACCTCGATGAATCCACTGTCATGTCCCCATCAAACAAGTAAGAAAATGGAGATTCTATTAAAAAGGTTTGCTTTAGGAGCCAGGGCTTGCAGGAAGGGCTCGAGCCAGCATTGGCCCCGGCTGCTCCCGCTGGAGCCTGGCTGGGCAGCCCTGCACCTCAGCGGGATCACATAAGCCATTGGCTTTTGGGGAAGGACCAACGGTGGTCCTGCTTTCTGCTCCCGGAAAGAGCCGCGCTGCCTCCCCACCCTGGGTTGTTCACCCCACCCAAGGTGTACCGTTACCACCACGCTGGGCTTTGGCTGTCAGCTCAGATTATCACCTCCTCAGGGCAGCCTCTCACCCCCAAGCCAGTGGCTGGGGTGGGTTCTCTGTGTCCCCTGCTGCCTCTCTGTCATGGAGGATTCCTTTGGGGCTGGGGCCACTTCTGGTGACTGCAGTGTCTCAGGCCTGGCTCAGACCATAAGCTCAGTAACCCCCTGAAGGCCAAGTGAATGGCTGGGGGTTGGGTTGAGGGAGGTTCTGAGCCCAGAGTAGCTGTGGGGGTCCTCCCAAGACCTGCAGTGAATCGGGGTCTGCGAGGCAGCAGCCCAGGCCTCTGAACACTCCTTAACTGGGGCCACCATGCAGTGGTTGCCACGTCCAAGAAGAACGCCTGTGTGTCGCTGGTGTTCTCCTTCCTTTATAAGGTGGTACAGGTGAGTTGAGTCACAGTCCCCTTCTCTGCTGTGTGCCTCTGCCCACACCAGCCACCCGAGGGCTGCAGCCTCCCAGGGAGTTCTGGGGCTAGAACCCCAGGAAATGGGAAGGGGAGCTCCAGCTGCCCCGTTTGTGGGATTTTATGGCCTTTGACGGTGTCTCTTTGACATGGTGAGGAAGGGAAAGTGAACAAGAGGTGGAGCTCAGGGCGGGTCAGTGCGCCCTGACTCCAGGAGGGACAGCTGTGCCCCACAATTGGCTGTAGAAGGGTGGCCGGGGGCCAGCTGAGAGTCAGAGCTTAGGGAGGTAGGCTAGCCAGGAGGAGGGCAGAACCAAATTCTGCTCAGAGATGAGGAGGCAGTGAGAGCAGCACATGCAAAGGCCCTGGGGCAGGAGTGCGTGTGGTATGGTACGGTCAGGGACCATCAGACTGGCCAGTGTGCTCAGGACGGTGTGGGGCTGAGGTCAGCAAGATGGGCGGGGCTGGACTGTGGGGTCAGGGACGCACAGGGCCTAGTGAGGAATTCGGATTTCGTTCCCAGCCTGATGAGAGATGGTGGGGAACTTTAAGCGGGAGACTGACGAGACCCGATTGGAGTTAAGATTGTCGAGCTGGCTGCTAAGTGGAGGAAGAACTTGAAGGCGGCAGGGAGGCCAGTGAGGAGGTTGTTGTGGGCTTCCAGAGGAGAAATGGAGGGGCCTGGCTGGAGCAGGGGCCATGGGGTGGAAGAAAGTGGAGAATCGGACCCAGGAGGCCTGGGGTGGGCGCAGGAGAGCTGTCGTCCTCAGGTGGTGCCACTTGCAGCTAGTCAGGAGCCACTGTGCTGGACAGTGGGAAGTAGGTCGGTCTGAGCAGTGGGCAGGAGAGCATGTGTCCCCCGGGGAGCCTGAGTTTGGGCTGAGGAGTAGGCCTTCATGCCAGAGCAGTGGCGCCATCGCAGGAGTGATTTCCGAATAGAGGCCCAGTGGCTGGTGCCAGAGTGCAGAGGGACATCTGCGGACCAGAGATGGGGAAAGGGGGAAGGAGGAAGGTTCTCCTCCCTGCAGCGTTTGGCATTTCCTTTTTGCCTCGGTGGCTTTCCTTCAGGGTTAGTGCTAATGAAACTTTTCTCCCCTCCCTTCTTTGATCCTCTTAATTTTCTATTGAACTGGGTGGGGGGGGTGTGTCCACAGCTCAGGGGAGTTGGAAGAGTCCGGAAGAACCACTTGTTCTGACCCCAGTGGCTCTTGCCCCTCACCTGAGTCACTTGTGACTCAGGCAAAGGGTGACAGTTACAGTGGGGATTAAAGAGAAGCTCCGATGAGGCCCTAGACCTGGGCGGGTGGAGGGGGGAACCGTCAGGGAGGAGAGGAGAGGGAACCCACGGGGGTGGAGATGCAGGGCTTCTGCCCAGGCCCCCCTCCACCCCCCCACCCCCCGAGGACGCCTGCCCCACCCGCAGCCTGCTTCCTGCCTCTCAGGCAGCCAGGGTTGTTCTCCTGCCCACGGTCTCCCAGCCCAAGGCCTGGCATGTGGCATGTCGCCACGGCTCGCACATGGGCAGCTGCAGCTTGTGGGCATGGGCATAAAGGGCAGGCGGCTTTGTGCGAGCACCCCCCTTCCTTGGCCCTATCTCACTCCATCTGCCGCCCCCATGACCCCCCACCACAGGTGTTTTCAGAGTACTTCAAGGAGCTGGAGGAGGAGAGCATCCGCGACAACTTTGTCATCATCTACGAGCTGCTGGACGAGCTCATGGACTTCGGCTACCCCCAGACCACCGACAGCAAGATCCTGCAGGAGTGAGTGGGCAGGGCGGGGACCCAGGCCTGGCAACATCGCAGCGTTGATGTGGTCAGGTGTGGAGACAGGAGGAAGCGAATGTGCCTTCACATTGGGGGCCGCCACCCTGTCTCCGGCTGTCCCCGGGCGGTTGTAGAGTCTTGGCCGTTCAGCATCCCCCCGAGCACGAGCAGGTCCCTGGTACCAGGTGGTGCGCTAAGTGCCTTGTCGTTAGGGAGTCACCTGCCTTTGTTTTCACTGTCATACATGACAGACGCATTCTTGTCGGCAGTCCTGCCCTGCCCTCCGCACCGGGGCGGGTGGATCAAGTCCCTCCTGTGCACCAGGCCCTGTTGCGAGTGCTTCACCTTCACTCCTTTCAGAGTGAGGGGCGCAGCTCCCCATTTTGCATGGCACAGAGGGACACTCGGAGAAGCCACGTCGCTGGCCCGCATCTCGTGCCTGGTGCTCCCCAGGTGGGATTGGGGTCACCAGCTTCCCCCCCTCCCCGGGGTTAGTGTCCTCTGCCCGCCCAGCAGGAGAGCAGTTCGTGCCCACTCCGGTTTCCTTGCCAGTGCTGTCTCCTTGCCCCCCCCTCCGCCCCCCGCAAAATGAACGCTGTGCGCTCATTGTAACTTGAATTTATTGGGGCTTTTTGGATATCGTAAGATATTCTTGTGTTAAACAGCCCAGGTGAAACCAGAGCCTGCCTTTTCTAGAACCTGCTACAGGGAGGGGCTGTTTCCAAAATGTTGGTGCCCCAAGTCCTTACTTTGGGTGTGGTCCCACAGGTACATCACTCAGGAAGGCCACAAGCTGGAAACGGGGGCCCCAAGGCCTCCAGCCACCGTCACCAATGCAGTGTCCTGGCGGTCCGAGGGCATCAAGTACCGGAAGAACGAGGTGTTCTTGGACGTCATCGAGTCCGTCAACCTCTTGGTAGGCTTCCTTTCTTTTCTTTTCTTCGTTTAGAGAAATTTTGTCTTCTCTATAATTGAAATAAAAGCAGCTGGACTTTTACAACTAGCAAGGCCCTGAGAGACGTTTACTTTCTGTGTGACAGCTGATCAGCAGGTTTAGGCCACTCATTGCAGCTGGGGAGCCTGTTTTCACTAGCTTTTGTTCCTACTTAGAATCAATGCAGGCACATTGCGGTTGTTGCTGTTTAAAGCAGGGTGGAAAGTCAGAAAGCAAAGGCCTCTATATTCAGAGAGACCACCTCACTTAAGATTCATTATCATCCTTTCGGGTCCCATTCTGTACATTTACAAACACGCGCTGTCTTTCTGTAAAGCTGAGAGCATAAGATGTGGTTCTCCCACAACTTACTTCGTTATTGTTCGACTGTTTTGTGCACATTTGTTTTTTCCTTTGATGTAATTTTTTAAATTATCACTAAATAAAATTGACTTTCTTTTCCGTTAATTTTAGCACATGTACAGATTTTTGTAGCCCACTGCTATATAATCAGGATGCACATCCCCTCTAAAACCTCCCTCCTGCCCACCCCTTGGTAGTCCCACCCTTCCGCCTCCCCCCTGCCCAGCGGCCACCGCTCAGGTCCCCATCACTATCCGGTAGCCCCCCCCACTCCACAGTTTCTCTTCCCCAGTCAACCATGGTCCAGAATCAGATGGTCTTCCTCCTGACTTGTCAGGTCAGCCACTGCATCATGCTACATCACAAGGCCCATGTCATTCACTTTGCTTTGTGTCATCATGAGGGCATTTTGTCCTCTCTCATCATTACAAGAAGAAGGGTGGGTCTAGTACAATCAGATGTTTTGAGAGAGAGAGAGAGAAACCACATTCACATATCTTATAGTATATTGTTCTAATTGTCCCATTTTATTATTAGTTCATTGTTCATCTCTCACTGTGCCTCATTTATAAATTAAACTTTATTAGAAATATATGTGTATAGGAAAAAAACATATAGAAGATTCGGTACTGTCTGGTTTCAGGCATCCACGGGGTCTTGGAACGTATCTCCTGCAGATAAGGGACGGTGTGGGGGGACTTCTCTAGTGTCTTTTTGAGATTGTCCTATGAATGGAATCATACAGTATGTGACCTTTTGAGTCTGGCTTTTTCTACTTAGCATAATGCCTTTGAGATTCATCCAAGTTACTGTTGTTTATCGAAAGTTTATTTCTTCTTATATTTATTACATTTATTTTATATCCTGAACCACACCTTGTTTATCCATTCACTGATTGAAGGGTTGTTTCTAATGTTGGGCGGTTGTGAATAGAGTTGCTGTAAATGTTTCACGTACAGGTTTGTGTGTAGACAGAAGTTTTCATTTCTCTAGGGCAAATACCCAGGAGTGGGATTGCTGGGTCATATGGTAAGTGTATGTTTAACTTTATAAGAAACTGCCAAACCATTTTCCAGAGTGGCTGCACCATCTTTTCCTTTTCACCAGCGGTGGATGAGAGTTCTGGTTGCTCCACATCCTTGATCAGTATTTTGATTTTCGCCATCCTAATCGGTGTGTTGTGTTAGCTCATCACGGCTTTAATTTGTAAGTTCCCTAATGACTAATGATAACCACCTCTTCATGTGCTTCTTTGTCGTCCATATACCATCTTTGGAGAAGTGTCTTTTCGTGTCTTTTGAGTGTTTTTAAGCTGGGTTTTTTTTTTATGGTTTTTGGATTTTGAAAGTTCTTTATATATCCTGGATACAAGTCTCTCATCAGATACGTGATTTGCAGATGTTTTCTCCCAGTCCATCACTTGTCTTTTCATTCTTTTGGTGCAGTATCTTCCACAGGACAAAAGTTTTTTGGGTTTTTTAAAAAGATTTTATTTATTTATTTGACAGAGAGAGACACAGCGAGAGAGGGAACACAAGGAGGGGGAGTGGGAGAGGGAGAAGCAGGCTTCCCGCCAAGCAGGGAGCCCGATGCGGGGCTCAATCCCAGGACCCTGGGATCATGACCTGAGCCGAAGGCAGACGCTTAATGACTGAGCCACCCAGGCGCCCAGGACAAAAGTTTTTAATTTTGAGGAAGTCCAGTTATCGATTTTTTCGTCTGTGTGCTTTTGGTGCCATGTCTGAGAACTCATTGCCAAACCCAAGGTCATATAGGTTTCCTCCTAAATTTCTTCAAAAAGTTTTATAATTTTATTTAGATCCATGATCAATTTTGAGTTAAGTTTTATATAAGGTAGGAAGTTTATATGCAGTTTTTTTGCGTCTAGAACAGTGTTCCAATATCATTTTTTGAAAAAACTATCCCTTTCTCCATTGAATTGCTTTTGTATTTTTGTCAAAAAGCAATTGGCCATATTCATGCGAGTCTGTTTCTGGACTCTTTTCTATTCCATTGATCTGTATATCTGTTCATTAGCCCATACCTCACTGTCTTGATAACTGTAACTTTATTAAGTCTGAAAATCAGATTATATGATCCTGCCAACATTCTTCCTTTTTCAAAATTGTTTTAGCTATTTAGTTCCTTTGTAAAAAAATTTTTAGAATCAGCTTATCTATATCTACAAAAAGATCCTGCTGGAATTTTGATTGGTATTGTATTAAATAATTCTATTAATCAGTGTAGGAGAAAATTGATATCTTTCGTATATTAAGTCTCAGAATCCACAAATACTGGATTAGTTAGGTCATCTTTGATTTCTTTCATCAACATTGGTAGTTTTTACCACGTTTACTTTTTTTAGAGTTATAACTAAGTATTTCATTTTTTTGAAGGTGTCATAAATTGTATATTTTTTATTCTATTTGGTAGAATTCACCTGTGAAACTATCTGAGCCTAGAGATATCTTTTTCAGAATTTTTTTTTTAAGAGAGAGGAGGGGCAGAAGGAAAGAGAAAATCTTCAGCAGGCTCCACACTGGGTGTGGAGCCTGACTCAGGGCTCGATCTCACCACCCTGACATCATGACCTGGGCCAAAATCAAGAATTGGATGCTTAACCAACTGAGCCACCCAGGCACCCCTTTTTCAGAATATTTTTAACTACAAATTTCAATCCTGTAATTGTTACAGGATTATTCAGATTTTCTCTTTCATCTTAGGTGAGTTTGGTAGTGTGTTGTTTTTAAGAAGCTGGTCCATTTCATCGAAGTCATTGAGTTTATGTGCATAGTGTTGTTTATAGTATTCCCTTATTGTTTCTTTAATGTCTGCAGGGTCTATGCTGATGTCCCCTCTTTCATTCCAGATATTGGCCATTTATGTCATATTTCTTTTTTCTTTGTCAGTTTTGTGAGAGTTTCATCTATTTTATTGATCTTTACCAAGAATTGGCTTTTGCTTTCATTGATTTTCTCTGTTGTTTTTCTGTTTTCAATTTCATTGATTTCTGCTGTTAGCACTGGTATTTTCTTCTCTGTGATTTGGGTTCATTTTGCTCTTCTTTTTCTAGTTGCTTAAGTTGGAAACTGAAGATACTGATTTGAAACCTCTTTTCTAATATAAATATCTAATGCTTTTAATGTCTAAGTAATGCTTTAGCTGCATCCCGTAATTGGTATGTTGAATTTTCATTTTTGTTCAGAAAAAGTTCAAATTTCCCTTGAGACTTCCTTTTTGACCCATGGATTATTTAACAAAAGTGTGTTGTTTAATTTTTAAATGTTTGCAGATATTTCTGTTACTGTCACTGATTTTTAATTTAATTGCATTATTATCTAAGAATATACTTTTTACACGTCAATTCTTTAAATTTGTTAAAGTTTATTTTAATGACCCAGAATATGATCTGTCTTGATGAATTTTCCATATGCACTTGAAAAAAAATGTATATTTTGCTATTGTTGGGTTGAGTGTTCTGTAAATGCCAATTAAATCCTCTTGGTTGGTGATGTTCAATTCTTCTAGCTTTTTTTGCTAATTTTCTGGCTACTAGTTCTACCTATTATTGACGGAGTATTAAAAGCTCCAGCTGTTAATTGTGAATTAATGTCTTTGCTTAGCAAATTTTGACATTGTGCTGATAGGCGCAAGCACATTTAGGATTCTTATGTTTCCTTGGTGAACCGACCCTTTCTTTTGTCATTATATAATGTCTCTAATTATCCCTGGTAATTTTTTTGCTCTGAAGTCTTTTTTGCTATTAATATTGTCACTCTAGAGTTCTTTTGATCAGTGTGTACACATTATATGTCTTTCTATCCTTTTACTTCTTTTTCTAATCCTTTTATTTTATTTTTAAAAATTTTGTTTTTTAGTAATCTCTATCTCCAATGTGGGGGCTCAAGCTCACAACCCTGAGATCAAAAGTGCATTCTACTGACTGAGCCAGCCAGGCACCCTGTCCTTTTATTTTTAACTTACCCGTATCATATATCTTGTAGACAACATATAACTGGGTCATTTTTAAAAGGGTTTTATTTAAACTCCAGTAAGGTAACATACAGTGTAATATTAGTTTCAGGTGTACAATATAGTGATTCGACACTTCCGTACGTTACCCGGTGCTCAAACTGGGTCATTTTAAAAAATCTATTCTGGGAGTCTCGGTCTTTTAATTAATATGTTTAGAGCATTTATACTTACAGTAACTATTAATATGTTAGATTAAAGTCTACTGTTGTATTATTTGTTTTCTTTTTATTCCCTCTATTTTTCATTCCTTTGGGTTTTTTTTTTTTTTTCCCTATCCTTCTGTGGTCTGTTTGAATATTTTTAGCATTCCATTTCATTTCTTCATTGTGGTCATTACTGTATCTCTTTGTATAGTTTTTTCTAGTTGTTGCTATAAAATGCATACTTACCTTTTCATCATCTACTTAGAATCAATATTTTATCACTTCAGTTGGGATCCAGAAACTTTCCTACCTCTTGATGCTAGAGTTGTTCCATATATTCATCTAGATACATTGGAAACCACATCAGACAGTGTTCAGACTTTTTAAAAAGATTTTATTTATTTGAGAGAGCAAGAGAAGGTGAGGGAGACAGTGAGGGAGAGCATGAGCAGTGGGGAGGGGCAGAAGAAGAGGGACAAGCAGACTCCCCACTGAGCAGGGAGCCTGGGATCATGACTTGAGCCAAAGGAAGACACTTAACCGACTGAGCCACCCAGGTGCCCCAGACAGTGTTAAGATTTTTGCTTTCAATTTTCAGACGTACTTGAAAGCAATCAAGAGGGGAAGAACAACAGTCTTCCACATAACCGAGACATTTGCCACTTCAGTTGCTTTCCCTTGATTTCCTGACTTTCCAGGTTTCCTTCTGGGAACATGTCCCTTCCACCTAAAAAGCTGCTTTTAGCAATTCTTTCGGAACAGATCAGCTTGGTTTTCCCTCATCTGAGAATGTTTTCATTTCACCTTCATTCTGAAGGGTATTTTGACTGGGTAACAGGTTCTGGGTTGGCAGTTCTCCTTTGGCACCTTGAAAATGTCCTGCCATCCCTTGGGGCTCCATGCTTCATGATGAGAAATCCACAGTCACTCAAACTCGTATCCCCTGTAGGTAATGGCTTGTGTTTCTCAAGATGCCTTCCAGATTTTGTCTTTGTCTTTCATTTTTAGCAGATAGATTATGATGTGTCTGGGTATGGTTATCTTTGGATTTCTACTGTTTGGGATTTGTTCGGCTTCTCACATCTGTAGGCTTATGGTCTTCTACCAAAATTGGGACATTTTCAGCCAGTGTTTCCTCAAATAGGTTTGCATCATTTCACTCTTTCTCCTTTCTTTTTGGACTCCAGGGACATGAATGTTAGACCTTTTGTCAGTGACCCAAGGGCTTCTGAGGCTCTTTTTATTTTATCCCACCTTTTTTTTTTCTTTTTGTTGTTTAGATTGGATGATTCCTTTTGCTCTGTCTTCAAGTTCACTGACCCTTTCCTGTTTTGTCCCCATTCTGCTATTGAGCCCATCCAGCAAGTTTTGTATTTCAGTCATTGTATTTATTAGTTCTAAAATTTCCATTTGACCCTTTTTCCTGTAGTCTGTTTCTCTGCTGAGACTTTCTATTTTAACATTTGTTGCCAGGGTGTTTGTGATTTTTACCTAGCTATTTAAAGTCTTTGTCAGATAATCCCAGCATTTGCGTCAGTGTTGGCACCTGTTAACTGTATTTTCCATGTGAGCTAAAGTTGTCATGGTTCTTTGTATGCCAAGTAGTTTTAGATTCGATCCTGGACTTTTTGAATATTATAATAGTCTAGGTATTGTTTAGATTATACCAGAAATGTCAATATTTGTGTTTCAGCTGACAGTTGACCTGGTTAGGTTCAGGCCACAAGTTGTAACCCCCAATCTGTGGGCCATGAGTATCAGTTCAGTTTTCAGTTTTCAAAGCCTTCATGCCATTTGCTATTTGAGCTTATCCGGCGTATGCTTCACCTGCTGGTCGGTCTGGGACTGTGCAGTTTGTCTCTCAAAGTCTTTGACATACTAATTAGGATCATAGCCACTCATGCCCAGTTCTAGAGCTCTGGTTTAGAACTGCATGGTTTGTTTCCCTGGACGCCTCATTCTTAGCTGTCTTTCTGGTACTTTCCAGCTGCTTGGGGCATCCCTTTTTGGTACTGTGACCACCTCGCTGGGGGCTATAGATCCCCATTCTGTCATGCTTGTCTGCAGTGGGCCCCCGTCCTGGGTTTGCCCCACCCTCTGGGAATAGCAGCTGGGTTGCCTGGGGCCTGCGTGTGAGAGAACAGACAAAAGGGGGGGATTAGGGGATTTCTGTACTCCCTCTAAGAGGCAGGAGTTCCCCTTCTGGCCCTGAAGCCAGAGCTAGAGGCTTCCGTGAGCTCAGTCTGCACCCCAGTGCTCACTTCCACTTCCAGGTTTCCTCTACACTTTCCCACGGAGGGGAGGCAGGGAGGGCGCTGCTCCTACAGTGGTTCTTTCCCGATCCACGATCCACCTGCTGCACCTTTCAGTCTTCCATGGTTGCCCAGGCACCCTGCCCAGGTTTGTCGTTGTAGTCAGTGGCAGGGAAAGAGGATGCAAGCCGACCCCGTGTCACCTGCAGCCTGCTTCGTCTTCACTTTGGAGATTACCATGACTGGGCCAAGCCCATCATGCGGCTCGCTCGGGTGTGCCCATTTCCAGCAGCTGCAGACAGTGCAGAAAGGAGCAAGCTTGTTCATCCTCAGACTTGTGTTTGGGATATGTCCCGTACGTGGGCGGGATTCCTGGAAGGGTGAGTTCCTGCTTATGAAATTGTCGAGAGTGCTTCCCCAACAGATTCTCCCAGTGGACCTAATGTAAGCATATTTGCCTTCTTACTGTTTAAGTCATGGAGCAAGACAGTGGCCTCAGTAACTGCATGCCCCTCCTGTCTTGGGACCTTTGTCTGAATCGTTCATTGAGCCAAGAACATGGTCCCTCTAACTCTAGAGTGTCTTGGGGTAGAAAAGCAAATCCCAAGGAGCAGTTTCCAAATAGCTGTATGTGAAAGCACTAGGAGTTCAAGGTGTGTCCAGCCCCAGTGCACCCCAGCATGTGTCTGTGCCCGAAGGACCCCTGATCTTCCATACACGGGGCAGCACGAGGTGGGTGTGGATATTGGAGACGTGTTGGAACACCATCTTCCTGAGTCTGATTGCAGAGCTGGCAGCTGAGTCAACGTGGGCCTCCAGATTCTGGTCATCTGGACGTAGTGATGTACTGAAAGCAGCTCAGCAGACATCTCTTCTGCGCCCACCCGTCCTGGTTGCTGCCTGCAGGGCTGAGATTAGCCTGGTGGGCTGCACGGCTTTTCTGCTCCACTACTGAGCCTGCCTTCCCAGCGTTCATGACCTCACATGTTCAGTTACAGAGGGCTGTGCAGTCCCTACTCCCCAGGAGGAAGACAGCCCTCCCAATCCAGGGGCAGTCACAGCTAGGAGCATGGAGGGCCCCCTGAGTAAGGCCGGTCAGAGTGCCAGAGCCTGGCCAGCCAGCGAGGGCCCATGTTGGCACGTGCTTTCTGAGGACCTTCTGCCCCCAGGCGCTGTCCTTGTGCTGGCCCAGCAGGGAGGAGCCCGACACAGCCCCTCACCAGAGGGGGGACAGAGATGGGTGGGCAGACAGAGCTGTCGAGAGGCAGGGGAGGAAGAGGTGGCTGCTGTGTGCTGTGGGGGCAGGGAGCTGCCTGCCAAGTGGGGACAGTGAGAGGCCATGTGGCCGGAGTATAGTGAGCAAGGGGGGGTGATGGAGCCAGACCGTGCAGGGCCTGCTGTCCTGTTGTGTGCCTTTCCTGGGGTTGTCATCTACTTGGTGCCTTAGTTCTCTGCCTCCCTCAGAGGCGGAGCGATTGCGTGTGTGCATGTGGTGCTTTCCAGACACTCGAGTTAAAAGCTGGACAGATTCTCCTCCTCCTCTGCAGAGAGAGGCAACTCGGGCCCTGCACCATGTGAGTGTGGCTGGCCCCTCTGAGGAGTGGCCTGTGCGGCCCCGAGGCCCCTGCGTTTGTAGCCCTGGCCCTCGCCTGTGGGTGTGGACGTGCTGATATGGGGTGGTGGTCACAGCTGTGGCCCTAGCGCCTCTGCCAGCCACCGTGCGGCCTCTGCCCTGTGCCTCAGTGTCCTTGTATCTAAAATGGGCGTGTGAAGAGGTGTTGCAGCAGCCTGGCTCCCTCAGGACAGTCTCAGGGCTTGCCTGGTGGCCTGCCGTGACTTCTCATCGCACTCAGATGCTTCCTGGTCTGCACGTGAGGTAGAGGGTCACCCGAGTCAGCGCCCTGGCCTGCAGCCTGTTGAGGCACGCAGAGCCCCGCCTGGGGCAGAAGAAGGGCTCAGTCACTTACTGTCATGACTATATCTGTTTAAATACACGGTTACTTTGGATCAGTGGTATCAGACTTCAGGCACCCTGGGGAGCACGGAGGGGTCAGGGCCCTGGAAGCCCCATCTTTAGGAAGTAGGGGACATAGGTTGGGTGGCCTCAGGCCCCATATGGAGAAACAGATTTCAAGAAAAGCAAGTGTGGCCTGCTCCGAGAGAGGCCTGCCTGTGTGGCCTGAGACCGAGAGGGCAGGGCCCATGTGTCGGCCCCTGTGGCCCTGCACAAAGGCTGGATGGGAGGAAGGTGAGGCTCACCCAGCTCGGGATGGTGAGAAGGGCATTGAGAATGGGGCAGCTGGGTGAGCAGGGACCTCCCCTCATGCCCACCTCGCCATCCCCCAGGTCAGTGCCAATGGCAATGTGCTGCGCAGCGAGATCGTGGGCTCTATCAAGATGCGGGTCTTCCTGTCAGGCATGCCCGAGCTGCGCCTGGGCCTCAATGACAAGGTCCTCTTCGACAACACAGGCCGTGAGTACCCCGCCAGCCCCACGGCGTCCCTGTGGCCAGAGCGGGCCTCACGCTGAGCTCAGAGCGGCGCTGAGGGGATATTGAGCTGCGTGAGGGAACACACGGATCTCAAGCACTTGCTTCAGACACATTTTCACGTTGTGGACAAGATAACTGTGAAAACTAATACATCGATACCTGGACATAGAAAATACAGAAGAGTGAAGATCCCAAAGTCAAGTCCCCTTACCACCCCCCGGGCCAGAGGACACGGGCCAGTGCCTTAGATGTTAAGTTCAGGGAGGGTCACGCAGCAGGTCCGAGACCCTGCGCTACACCATCTTGGAGGGAGCTGCGGGCTCAAGGTTAGGCCTTGTTCTCTCCTCTCCCTGCGGACCTCCTGTCCCCGGGTGGGGCGCGGGGTCTGGGCTGCTCTAAGGCTGTGCACAGTGGTTCCAGCTCTCACCACCTGGCCTGGACATGGCACTCGCTGTGCTGGGGCAGGGGCCACAGTGACCGCAGGGCCCGGCTTACTGAGGGTCTGTGTTTACAAACTGGACCGCCAGCCGCAGGAGCAGTGGCCGCGCCGTCGGACCTAACCTCCACGGCAGCAGGACTGAGGGCCTCTGTGGTGTTGGCCCATCAGGGCGGCTCCTGTCCCTGGCTGGCCCGGCCTGCACAGCTCCTCTGTGGGATGGAAAACCAAGACAGGAACTGAGAACCCATGGGATGATGGGGGCCAGGACGCACTGGGAGCCCTGAGCTGTCACCATGCATCCCCAGCCCAGTCTATTAGTCATTCGGCAAATATGTCCTGAGCGGGAGCCCTGGCCAGACCCTGAGCTAGCTGCTGCGGACTCCGAGTGAACCAGGCCGCCCAGCCCTGCCCTCAGCATGTGCCCAGTGTCAGGATGTGACGAGGCTTCCAAGGGGCTGAGGAGGGACAGGGGAGATTGTCTGGGAACCTGGGCCCCTTGGCCTTTGTGACCCACAGATTTGAGGGGCAGCTCTGCTCTGCCAGGGGTGAGCCCCAGGCAGTGGAAGCGTTGCTGACAGAGTGACCCAGAGCGCCCAGGGTCTGTCCTGCCCTTACCCCTGCCTCTCCTCAGGTGGCAAAAGCAAGTCCGTGGAGCTGGAGGACGTGAAGTTCCACCAGTGTGTGCGACTCTCGCGCTTCGAGAACGACCGCACCATCTCCTTCATCCCTCCAGATGGCGAGTTTGAGCTCATGTCCTACCGCCTCAACACCCACGTGAGTGTGCCCATAGGCACCTGCCCCCTGGGGCGGGCTTCCACCCAGACAGCAATGGGCAGTGTGTGGAGGCCCCAGACAGGCTCCCACCTCCTCCCCGGTGGGTGGGAATAGTCCCCATCCAGGATGAGTCTCACATCCACAAGGTGACACCCAGGGTAGGCAACAGCTCCCACGGGCTGCCCAGGCTCCACAGAGCCCATGTTCGACAGCTTGGGGCTCTCAACTTTCTGAGGGGCTAGACCCCATTCTAGGCAGCCCCAGTGATGTTTTCTGCATTTTCACAGATGCCCATCGGTCTCTATGTCCATCCCGGTCTGGCTGTGGACTCCTTCCATAGGGCGTTGGCATGCTGGGCTCACACCTGGGCACATGGTCCCTTTCCCCAGGCCTCAGTTTCCCCTCTGTGAGATGGGCCTCTGTAAAATGACCATGCGTGAGTGCCACCTTCACTCTCCCCAATAGGTGAAGCCCTTGATATGGATCGAGTCCGTGATTGAAAAGCATTCCCACAGCCGCATCGAGTACATGATCAAGGTACGTGCCCGTCCCACACACAGCGTCAGCCTGGGCCACGGGCAGTAAGTGGGGGGCTGGTGGATGGCCCTGCCTGTTCAGGGCCTTTGGCACAGGGTCCTAACCAGGGCAGGGGCCCCATGGGGCTCTGTGTTCCCTATCCTGGGAGGTAAGGCCTGTGGCTGATGCTTGTGCTGCCTCACTGTGAGCCAGAGGGAAGGACAGGGAGCCCTGACGGTCAAGGGGACTGGAGGGCATAGGGAGAATCTCAGGTGGGTGAGAGGCTGTGAGCTGTGCCTGGAGGACTGGGGGTCGGCTTGGTGGGGCCTCCAGGCCAGGCCAAGGGGTGTAGGGCCCTGGTGGGAGCAGGCGGGGTGGGGGCTGGGTTGTCTGACCTGTGCCTTCCACAACCTTGGCTGCACTGGTCTCATCTCCAGGCCAAGAGCCAGTTCAAGCGGCGGTCAACGGCCAACAACGTAGAGATCCACATCCCCGTGCCCAACGATGCCGACTCCCCCAAGTTCAAGACAACGGTGGGGAGTGTCAAGTGGGTCCCCGAGAACAGTGAGATCGTGTGGTCCATCAAATCCTTCCCGGTGAGCGCCCTTTTCAGTGGGATGCCCCTCTTAACTTCCACCCACACCCCACCTGCTCCCTGTGCCCATCACAGTACAGCAGCCTCGAAGGGCCTCGATCCCCACCTGGGGGTTCTGGGAGGCCAGCAGAGGAGAGCTGAGGGCTGGCCGAGCAAGGATGGAAAGCTGGAGCTGGCAGAGGCAGCTTGTGTGTGACCAGCCTATCTCCAGGATCAGGGCATCTTCCCCGCCGCCCTCTCTCCAACACTGGTTCAGAACTCAGCTTCCCTCGAGGGGACCAGACTGCCTCGAGGCCTGAGCAGTGTGGGTTTCAGGAATCCAGCACCAGCTCCAGGAATGTCGAGCACTTCATGCTGGCATAGCTGCCTGGCTTGTGTTCAGGATTTTCAGCACTGGAGTCTGGGTTTGCAGCAGAAGTGCCCAGAGAGCCTGGAAGGTGGATGTGTGTTCCTGTGCCAATTATGGCCCATTGCCTTTTTCTCATTATAAACAAGATGGAGCTCCTTTTTTTATGTCTGAGGGCCATTTGCATTTCTTTCTCTGGAAACCGTAGCAGCCATCTCTTGCTCATTTTTTTTTCAGGTTTGGTCATTTTCTTTGTTTCTGAGAGCTCTTTATATATGGGCAAGTTGAGCACTTTTTCTTTGATGTAAGTCGCAAATGGTTTTCCCCAATTTAATGTTTATCTTTTGGCTTTGTTTCTGGTAGTTTTTGCTGTGTGACCTTTTTTGATTGCTTCTTTGTTTCATTATTATTTAATGTAGTCAGATTTTCTGGTCTTTTTATTGCATCTGAATTGTAAGTCATGCTTTGAAAGGCTTCACCATTCCCAGATATAAAGGAATTCACCTATATTTGCTTCTAGAACCTGTACAGTGGCATTATTCACCTTAGGTTTTAGGTGCTTTCAGAACTAGGTCTGGTAAATGGGGGGAGGTACGGGTCCAGTTTTATCTTTTTCCAAATGGCCATTCAGTTTTTGAACATCGTTTACTAAAAAGTCCATCTTCTCCCCTGTGGTTTGAAATGCCATGTTTATTAAATATCAGATTTTCACGCGGCATTAGATCTCTTTCTGAATGTCCTGTTGTCTCTCTGTCCACGCAGCAAGGCCATATTTTAACTCAGAGCTTTATTCTCTGTTTTAACATCTGATAAAGGCAGCCCCACCCCCACCCCCCCACACACACCCACATCACTTGTTTGTTTCCTGGTGATTCTTCCTTGCTTACTTGTTTGGTGTTCCTTATGAATTTTAGAATCAGTTTGTTTGCACTAAATTTATAAGTCGAGTAGGAAGAGCTAACTTCCTTATGAGGCTTTGTGCCTGTCTCACCTCAGTGCTTTGGGGGCCGTCTTCGTGTTTACCTTATACACCTCATATAGCCTCTCCCTTGGTTTAAAAAGTACTTTCATTGAAGTACAACATGCAGAAAAGTAGACAGATGAAATGTGGACAGTTCGATGAATTTCCTCAGGGGGGACACATTCATGTGCCTGGAACCAGATGAAAGCCGCAGAACTGCTCGCCCCATCCTCAGGAGCCCCCAAGGTTCCTGCCAGTTTGTCCGTTTCTTGTTAAGATGAGCCTAAGTCAGTGTTCTGGTGAGTGGGGTCTTGTCTTCCGCCGTGTCTTCCAGCAGGTAGCCACTGTTTGCATAGTAGTTTCACGCCCTGGTTCCTTACTGGGTGTCTGCTTTAGGGTAGTTTTTCTTTCAATTCCCGTGGATTTTCAGATATTCTTTTGTATCTTTTGCAGCCAGATGCAGTTTTCCCTTCTCCTCTGCTCTTCTTGGGCATTTGATGGCTCTGGTGCCTCCTTGCCTTGGCTGCTCTCTCCGGGGCCTGTAGTGGTGGTGGACAGTGGCCTCTGGTTTGCCCCCACCCGGAGACACCAGCCAGGTGCCCCCTCCAAGTGCGATGCCGCGTTGGGCCGTGGACTCGATCCAGCCCTACTTTACTGCGGTTTTGGCACAAATGGGTAACAGACTTACCCAGGTGCCCCTTCAGTGTCTGTCAGTTCAGGTCTGTCAATGGGTGGAGCTGGACCATCCCTGCATTCTGGTAAGCTCCACCCGATTGAGGTATCTTTCCTTTTCAATGCACCGTTGGATTCTATCGATAAGATTGTACATAACATTTTCACTTTGATAATCATAATGGAGGTTGATTTTTTTTTGGTGCACTCTCTGTCAGGTATTCGTGTTATACCTGCTTCGTTATTACTCTGTGTCCCGTCTCCATGCTGCAGAACCGTTTAAGTGGCCGGGACATCGTCTGGTCTTGAGAAGGTTGATAGAATTTGGCTGTGTGACCTTCTGGATCTCGACTACTTTCTCCATCTCTTCTCTGGAAATCAGGTCCTTCAGAGTTTCTATTTCTGTTGGAGACTGTTTGGGTAAATTATATTTCCCTTCAAAATTATCCATCCTAACCAGGTTTGCCAAGTTGGAGAAAGTGGTCTTTTTTTTCTTTTCATTCACTTATGATGGTTACTTCTTCCTTATTCTTTCTTCTTGTGTGTATTTGGGTCTTCTGTTTCCCTGGATAAGGCTGCCTAGTGGCTTGTCTTTTTGTTTTTTCTCTCCAGGTTTGTATTTTAATTTTGTTGTGATATTTTTCTGTCTTTTGTAAGTCTTTAATTTGCATTTCTTCATCCTTTCTTTGTTCTAATTTTTCAAGTTAGGTATTTTCTTTTTTTTTTTTTTAAAGATTTTATTTATTTATTTGACAGAGAAACACAGCGAGAGAGGGAACACAAGCAGGGGAAGTGGGAGAGGGAGAAGCAGGCTCCCCGCAGAGCAGGGAGCCTGATGTGGGACTCGATCCCAGGACCCTGGGATCATGACCTGAGCCGAAGGCAGACGCTTAACGACTGAGCCACCCAGGCGCCCCTCAAGTTAGGTATTTTCATTTGATGATTTTGCTTTAAAATTTGTATTAATTCAAGATGTTCCTCTAAGCCCTGCCTTACCTGTGCAACCCATAGATTCTGACATGTAGTATTTGACTTGCTCATCTAGAAATTCTGTAACTGGATAGAGAGTTGGTTGTTGTTGTTTTTTTAAAGATTTACTTATTTATTTTAGAGAGAGCAAGCATGAGCCTGGGGGCGGGGCAGAGGGAAAGAGAATCTCAAGCAGACTCCCTGCTGAGTGTGGAGCCCAGCGCGGGGCTCGATTGCAGGACCCCGAGATCATGACCTGAGCTGAGGTCACGAGTCAGACGCTCAACCAGCTGAGCCACCCATGCGCCCCGGTGGTTCTTTTTAAATTTCCTAGGGGGTGGGCCTTCTGATTTTCATTTCTCCTCACCACTGATTCGGAGCACTAAAGCCAGAGAGTGTTATTCTTACTGTTTCTACTTCTGGGATTTCTCGAAGTGTCCACTGTGTGCTAACAGAAGGTCGAGTTTGTAAATACCGCAGGTGCACTGGGGAGGAAGACAAGGTTTCTGTGACCGGGGTAGGGAGCCCACGAGGTCTGTCGTGACGCAGTGGCGGTGTCCGCCCGGTCAGCGCTGCCTTCCTCTGGTTCCCTTTGCACGTCGTGTAGCATCTGCCTAACAGAGGTTGCCGCCCTGTTAGTTGGCGCTCATAGACACTCATGACTATGATACCTTCCCTGTGGATTGTGGGACTGCAGCCTCTAGGACCGTGGCCCTCCCTTCCTGCCCTGACGGCAGCCCCTGCGGTGTTTAGTCTGCCCCTCGCTGGCGCGCCTTCACCCACTCTTCCTGCTGGCGTAGCTTTTGTCCACTTTCGCGGCACAGAGCTGTGTTTTGGTCTGTGCGCCAGCCTGTAGGTCTTTCTGGTCCGTGCGAGCATTAAACCCGTTGACAACGACACGATGGACCCAGGGTAGGGGAGCAGACTTCCACCACTCCGCTGGGAAGGCCCGCCCGTCTGCATGTGCTTTTGCTTTCATTTTCCCTTTTGTCTTCATGAGGCTCAGATTTGGGGTCTGGTTATTGTCTCATACACAGGCTGGTGGAGCTGATTTTATTCCTTTGCCGCCTGCTTTGTCTGCTGCTGGGACCACATTATTCTCCCCTCGTTGTGCCAGAGTCTTTACTCAGCACATGTCCCTGACTCGGGCAGAGCCCCCGCTCTCACGCTGGCCCTGGCGCTGGTGAGCAGACTGGCACCATCCCAGGGCGAGGAGCCTGAGCGCGGCCCTGGGGAGCCGGGGCTCGGCTCTGCTCTACCCGAGACACGCAAGGACGGCCCCCAGCCCTGGTCGGCAGCCACTCCTGCCACAGCCCTGGGGATCAACAACTACAGGGTCCTGGGTGTGGCCAGAGCTGTGCTCTCTTTGCTCCCCACTGCTCTAGGTGAGACACACCGGGCCCCTGGACAACCAGACCAAGATGCCTTCCTCCTGTGCCGGACTGGGTTTCCAGGCCTTCCTGGCCCTGCCTCAGGCCCCATCTCTAGTCACTGCTCAGCCTCTGGGGCCAGAGCTGCCCCCTTCCGTACCCTCTGGGACAGGACACCAGTCCAACTCATCAGTCAGCCCCCGACCTCAGTCTCTTACTTTTGTTACCTCCCTCTGTTCACCGTCCCTCACTTTGACCTTTCCCCCTGTGCTTGCACACACCGCCTGCTGGACATTGGGCATGTGGGGTGTTCACTCGGACTCTGGCCTGGGCAGGGGCACGTGTCCCATGGTGGCATCTGCACTGTCTGTATGTCTGTGCCCCCTCTTCCTTCCTGAGGCCTGTCCTGTCAGGCTAGGCTTCCTTGAAGCAACTAGTCCTCCCTCCCTGAGAGTTTGTGAAACTCTTGATCCTTGGAATTCACTGGTTTTCCCCAGCATGCCTTTGATCTGCCCGGCTCAGCCGGCAGGACAGTCCGTGAAGCCTCGGGTAAATATAAGTGCGTTGGAGGATCTGAGACTCTGGGTGACCACAGCCACGCAGGAAGGGGCTCAGTGGCCAGGCCAGCAACCTGGAACTCTCTGGGGGTAGCTGTTGGCCTGACCATCTCTACCTCGTGTACTCCTCCAGGGGGGCAAGGAGTACCTGATGCGGGCCCACTTCGGCCTGCCCAGCGTGGAAGCGGAGGACAAGGAGGGCAAGCCCCCGATCAGCGTCAAGTTTGAGATCCCCTACTTCACTACCTCTGGCATCCAGGTACACGTGGCCGGGCTCTCCAGGGCCCCGGAGCAGACATGGGCAGGCCCAGGTGTCCGTTCCGGCTCAGAGAGCTGCAGACGACAGCTTAGGCGAGGGTGCTGGTCAGTCTGTCCCGGGGCCACCGCGGTGCTGCCCTGCTTCTGCCTCTCTCCACACCTGTCAGTTCAGACCTGACCCTGTGTTTCGGCTCCGAGCTCAGAGATTGGTTTGACCCCCAGAACTAGAGTCCGAGCCTCTAGTGTCCACGCACTTTGCCACCATGGGGCCTGTTTTCCTAGGCAGCTCCGGGGCAGATCTGTGAGGGGAAGTGAACTCTGGGTCCCCCTCCCCAGGAATCTGCTGGAGGGCTGTGCCTGGGAGTGCACACACACCCTGGCTCTTTTCCGCCCCTTCCAGTGTGACTCCTCCCTCCCACAGAGTCCACATGCTATGGACAGGTACCCGCCCCTCCCGCCCCCTCCCACTGCCCCCTGGGGGCCCATGCTGGGCCACTCCTCATCACATCATCACAGCTCCCCCCCCCGGCCTCTGTGGGGAGTGGTGGGGGGACCAGGAGGGGACAGCGTGTACATGCTCAGGGCCCTGCTGCCTGTGCCCTATAGGTGCGCTACCTGAAGATCATCGAGAAGAGCGGCTACCAGGCTCTGCCGTGGGTCCGCTACATCACTCAGAACGGAGGTGTGTGCAGCCCACCCGTGCGCGCTACTGAGAGGGTGGTGCGCGTGGAGCAGCCCCAGGGTTGGGGGGCGGCCCCTCCCCCACAGGTACAGTGCAGAAAACCAAGGCCTCCCTCCCTGATTCTAGATTACCAGCTCCGGACCCAGTAAGGGGCCATGCAGCCAGCGCCCCCGGCCCCGGCGCTGGGGCTCCTGGCGGAAGCACCAGGAGGAAGCACCTGCCAAGCCTGCTGGATGGAGGAGGGGCACCCCTGGCCACAGGCCACCCTCCCGGCTCCTCCCGGGGACCCCTCCTTTTCCAGGCACACCTGCTCTGCCGTTGCCACTCTCATCTCTGGGTCCCTTCTCCCGGAAGAAGCTCATCTTCGAGAAGTCTTGTCTCTGCCCCCTGAGTCCGTTTGAGGGGAAGGAAACAAAATCTTTCCCTCTAGAGATCAAATACAGCCTTCTGTGCTGGTGAGCTCCCAGGCACCACAAAGAGGGGAAGTGCTCACCCGGCCGCTGGCCGCACACGGCCTCTGGCCAGGCTGGCCAGGCTGCCGTTTGGTTGCCATTCTGTTGAATGTTGTAGGTTCATGAGTGTTCCTAATTTCTGTCTCGTTCGTTCCTTGTTGTTCACGTGAACCTCACTGTCCGCACCTCCCACCCCTTGTCCTGAAGCTCTCGGGCAGCACTTCGTGAGGGCAGAGTGCCCTCCTCCTCAGCAAGGCCCACATGACACTGGGTTCCCTCCTGCGTCTGGCCCAACTCTGGCCCGCGCCTCTCGGCGGAGGCTCATTGCCTCTTGCCCGAGGCTTCAGCGGAGGGGCCTTCCCAGGGTCCACCGTGCCATGTGAGGCCGTAACTCAGCCACATCAGTGTTTGTCCCCCCAGGGAAGTGGTGTCCAGTGAGGACTGCTGGCCTCGGAGGGTTGGGGGCACAGGTCATCCACATCTGTGCTTGGTCACCCACCACCACCCTGCCTGTGTTCGTGTCACGATTACATTAAAGTCCATTATGGAAACACGCTGCCTGCCTTCCCTCAGACGGAGCATGGGGCTGACTCCTGGGCGAGCAGGGCGGGGGCGGGGCTCCCATCACCCCCCGCCCCCCGCCAGTCTTCCTCAGTGTGCTCCTCAGAGCAGCGGCGTCCGTGTCCCCTTTGAGCTCATTTGGAACGCACATCCACAGATCCACCCTGACCTGCCGAGGCAGACTTCACAGGCTCCACGGATTCACATGTGCGCTGGAGTTTGAGAACCGCTGCCTGGTCCACAGAGGGGACCGTGGGGGGCGCACAGGCAGGAAGCACCCTGTCTTCCCACAGCGGGCACCTGCCTCACACCCCCCCCAACGTCTGTGCCGCTGGCCCTGCCTGGATCACCCCCTCTTCCTTCAAGGGCTGTGCTCCCCTGGCCCTCTCCCATATCACCCAGCTCCCCCTTGGAGGACTGGTGGGCATCAGCCCAAGTAGGAGCTTGGCCTTTCAGCTGCATTAAGTTAAGGATACCACCCTGGCCCAGGGCTCAGGCCAGAGCTGCTGGAGGTACCCTTGATGCCCCCTCCCTCACTGCCCACACCCACATCCACAGCCTGACCTCCCTCCAGAAGAGACCATGGGTCCAATAGCATTTCCCATCCTCACTGCCACCCCTGGAGGCCAAGCTGCAGCCTCCAGAGCCCCTGTGGGACAGACAGGTCATCCGCAGTATAGAGGGGGGGCCTCTGTTCCCAGCAACGCTTAGGACACAGTTGCCTGCAAGCCCTCCCGCTATTAGCGCATGTGTATGTGATGTTTAATTTAGTATATGTAAGAGACAGACTGAGAATGGGGCTAAGCATCCATCTCAAGAAGTCAGAAAAAAAAAAAAAAACGAAGCCTAAGAGCATAGAAAGAAGGAAAAAACAGCAGACACGAAGGAAATAGAAAACAAACATTCAATGAAAAGCAGAACCACAAGTTGGTGCTTGTAAAAGATGAATGGAGTTCAAAAGCTGCTAGGAAGTTGAATCAAGATGAAAAGAAGGCACAGGTCGCTGTCACCGGGAATGAAAGATTACTACAGCTTTTCGAACACGAAAGAGGTTACAGCAGGACAGCCACCACCTCACAGGGCATGCAGGCCGCCCTGTGCCCCCAGAGCTCCAGCCACCTGGGGGAGGGCTGTCCTTGTCTAAGCCACCCAAAAATCCCGAAGGGGGAGAGGGATGCTGGGAGCGACTTTGTGCCAGCATCCTTGAAAATGTTAACTATCATGGGTAAATTCCTAGAGAACAAAACCTGACTCAAAAAGAGAAAAAAACCTGAGTAGTCTATGGCTACTAAAGAACCAGAACTGGTCAGAGCCCCGGGTCCAGAGGGCTTTATTAGGAGAGCTCTACCCAGCACTCAAGGGGAAAAAAGAGAATTGAACAAACACTCCTGGAGAGTAGAAAAATAGGAAACATTTCCTCACTCATTTTATGAGACCAGCATTTCCTCGAAACAATATGAAACAGGAAAATTATAGACTAATCTCACTGATGGCCATAGATGTGAAGATCCTAAATAAAATTGGAGGGGAATTGGCGATGTATACAAAGGACATAACCTTGTGTCTAAGGTTAAATCTTAGGCAAAATGGTTTAATGCTGGAAAATGCATTAATCGAATCCACTGCCTTAAAAAGAATAAGGAAGGAAAACATTCATGATCGGTTCAATAGGTGCAGGTAAAGGGTTTGATAAAATTAAACATACATGATCAAAAAGAATAACACATGCCAACTCCAAACTATTGACAATGGTACCCCCCCAAAATGAAGTACCTGGGATTAAATAAAAAAATACACAAGGCTCTCGAGGAACTTTATGGAGGGCGTTCAGGGAAGACCTAAAGGGGGGGGGGGGCACATCCTGGTTATAGAATGGACATCTGTATCAAAGATGCCAACATTCCCTGTGGTCGGCAGAGTAACAGGCTCCCCCCCCGCAAAGATGTCTGCAGTCCCCAGAACCTGTGAATATGTTAAATTGCATGGCAAAGGGGATTAAATTTGCAGATGGAATTAGGATTGCTAATCGGCTGACCATATTGGGGAGGTTACCCTGAACCATCTGGTGGGTCCAGTGTAATCACAACGGTCCTTAATAGCAGAAGAAGGGGACAGAAGAGGGAGAAACAGAAAGCGGTGGTGTGGGAGGGACCCGGTCTGTGGTGGTTGGCTGTGAGGGTGGAGGAAGGCATGGGCCAAGGATGCAGGCCGCCTCCAGAAGCTGGAAAAGGATGAGACAAATTCTCACCAGAGTCTCCAACAGGAAACAGCCCCGCTGACACCGTGGCTTTAGCCCCGTGAGACCCTTTCAGACCTCCGACCCCCAGGATTTAAGTTAATAAATCTGTGTCATTTTATGTTTGTGATAATCTGTTACAGCAGCAATAGGAAACGAATAGACTTCAAAACTATGTATAGGTTGAAGGCATTCCCCTTCAAAATCCCAGTCAGGTTTTTGTGGAACTTGATAAGCAAATTCTAAAATTTACATGGAAGGTCAGAGCCAAGAATAAGAATCTTGAAGAATAAAATGGGGCACCTGGGTGGCTCAGTCGGTTAAGCGTCGGACTCTTGATTTCGGCTCAGGTCATGATCTCAGTGTCGTAAAATCGAGCCCTGTGTCGGGCTCTGCATTCATCAGGGAGTCTGCTCGAGATTCTCTCTCCCTCTCCCTCTGCCCTTTACCCCGCTTGCGCGCGCTCTCTCTCTCTCTCTCAAAGAAAGGGATGACCTATTTGATTGGGCATCAAGGCCTACTTCATCAATAGTAATTAAGACACATACAGTGTGGGCGCCTGGGTGGCTCAGTTGGTTAAGTGACTGCCTTCGGCTCAGGTCATGATCCTGGAGTCCCTGGATCGAGTCCCGCATCGGGCTCCCTGCTCGGCAGGGAGTCTGCTTCTCCCTCTGACCCTCCCCCCTCTCATGTGCTTGCTCTCTCTCTTTCTCTCTCTCTCAAATAAATAAAATCTTTAAAAAAAAAAAAAAGACACATACAGTGTGATCGCTTTAGAAGGAAGTTCAGAAACAGACTTAAGTGAAACTTCTTTAGGGATGCTTCCATCGTAAGGGGCAAATCTAAAGAAGAGGAAGTCAGAATGGGTCTACCTTGGGTGGCAGAGGGGAAGGCACAGGGGGCTCCGGGGTGCTGGCCACTCGGTCTTTCTTGAGTGGCTGGTGGTGACATGGGTGTTTGCCTCATAATTCTGTTGAACTGTATGTTTATGTTTTATGAATTTTACAGTAAGTTACAGTAACGATGTTTAATGCATCAAAAATCAGATGAATTTAATGCCACTTAACAGTTCCTGACAAAAAAAAAGATGGAAGACCCCCAATTCATTCTTTTAAGCAGCCGGCACTTGAATGCCAAAACCACTTAAGGATGGTAGAGAAGAAACAGTGGGCGAAACTTACTTACGAATAACAAAACTCCTAGACAAAATATTAGCAACCAGGATGGAGCAGCGGGTAAATAGTATCATATGCTGAGACTAAGCGGAGTTGAACCAGGAACATGAATGGGCTCCTCAGAGGCCACTCAATCCCTATAACTCATCCCACCACCAAACCAAACCATAGCCGTACGTTTGAGAAAAATGTTGCCACAACAGACGTCCCTAACCGACAGCAATAGGAGGGAGCAGCTTCCCTACGACAAACGATCCCATTTCCCACCAAGCATCAGAAAGTGCCCCTCTTGTGGCAGACAAGCAGGGAACGAGGGCTCGCCTGGTGGCTTTTTCTCTAGCAACGCGCACAGCGGGCAAGAGGGGCCAGGACCCGGGGCCCCGAAGCCCCCATGATGTGACAGGTGCAGCTGGGAGGTGCTGAATCTCACCTAGGGACTAGTGAAAGTGACGCTGTCACTGCCGTCCTGCCGCCCTGGCCCGAGTTCCATCATGCCCCTGCACCCCTCCTCGTACCGGCACAAACGTTCAAGAAGGCTCCCCGCAGCCCTGTAAGAACAAACAATGGGACCAGGGGGAGGAGGGAGGAGCAGCTGTGTGTCCATCCAGGCGAATATTCTGCTCACTCGGTGACCGGCCAGGGCTGGGTGTGCTGACACGGCCACACCCCACAGCTATGCTCAGTGGTTCCCACCAAAGCTGAACATTCACCCAGCCTGCGACCCCACAATTCCACCCTGGGCATCTACCCAAGAGAAGTGAGCACATGAGTCCCCGAAAAGACATGGACGCAAATGCTCACAGCAGCCGGACTCACAGTAGCCCCAAACTGGAAACAAACGGTGGGGGCCCCCCTCAACCCCACAGACACAGCGATGAAAAGGCACAGAGGCCCGCTCCCCGCCACCGCAGAACAGAGCGCAGGCAAGCATGGAAGCGTCTACTCCTGGGGGCAGGAGGCTGTGGACTGGAGGGAACCCTCTGGAATGATGGGAAGGTCCTACATTTTGATCTGGGTGCTGCTCCCACTCGTGTACAAGTAGGTAACACACGCAGAGATGGACATCTAACACACATGCACTTTACACAGTTCATGTGTGTGTGTCACACCTCAGTTCTTCAAAGCTTAAAAAATAAAAATACTAATAGTTAAAAATATAAACAATATTGGGGCGCCTGGGTGGCTCAGTCGTTAAGCGTCTGCCTTCGGCTCAGGTCATGATCCCGGGGTCCTGGGATCGAGTCCCGCATCGGGCTCCCTGCTCAGCAGGAAGCCTGCTTCTCCCTCTCCCACTCCCCCTGCTTGTGTTCCCTCTCTCGCTGTCTCTCTCTGTCAAATAAATAAAATCTTTAAAAAAAATAATAATAAACAATATTAATGAAATCATCCAATTGCAGGAGGATGTTGTCCTGTTATTTATATAAAGTTTTAACTCACATAAATCATGTTGCCTATGGCCAACAGTACATAATAAAGTATAAAGCACATGAAGGAAGGACTGACTCCCAATTCTAGACAACGGTACGTTCCGAGGCGGGAGAGGGACAGCTGGAGACCATGTGCCTCCACTGCATCTGTCAAGTTCATTCCTTCTGATCAGTGGTGCATAAACGGACATTTGTTAAATTATCACCCATGTTTTTGTGATGGCCCATGATGGCTCTTAATAAAGGTCACAGTTCAGATCATGTTTCTCCCCTGCTCAAAATCCTACCATGGCTCCCCAGTGTCCTCGAGAATAAAACCCCTCGTCCTGCAGGTCCAGCCCAGTCCCCACTCTGGCTTCCACTCACACCCTCCTGCCCTCTGCTCCTGCCACCCCTGCCTCTTTGCCCCAAGCTTGTCTCCCCCGCGGAGCCTCTGTACCCGCAGTTGCCTGTCCTGGTGCAGCCTTCTCTTGCTTGCCTTCTCGACACTGACAGTTCAACTCAAATGACATCTTCCCCCTGCCACTTCAGCTTGTCCCTATATGCAATTGTCCTTTGTCCCACATTTTTCTTTGTTCCCCATCTGCCTTGGAAGGCCCCCAAGGGCAGCGTCCCCTGTCTGGTTTGTCACTGCTGTGTCCCCAGGCTCCAGGGCCGTCCTGGGCTGGGACAGGGATCTGTGGACACGCCCACAGGTTCTGCCAGTCCTTGCCACAAGGGGGCGCCTACAGGTCAGAAATCAAACCTAGGACTAGGCCACTGGGAGAGGTGGGCGGGACAGGCCCTCTGAACACCGGGGTGCCCCAGACCCCTGCTAGCTCTCCTGGGGGTTCTCATTGCAGCCTGACTGTGACAGATGCGCAAGTGGAGGCTTGGAAAGGTCACAGAAAGGTTACAGGTTCTGAATGTGCCCCGATGGCCCAGGGGCATCTTCTAGGACCCTCTGGAAGAAGCTAGGGAAGCTAAAGATGGGGGTCGGGGGGACTGGGAGCTCTGATCTCGGGGTGGGGCCTGTGATCCCCACTGGCCACTCTGTCCGGGCTAGAAGGACCAAGTCAAGGCCAGTCAGGGATCAGCTGGCCCTCCCAGACTCAGGGAACCTCCGCTCAGGGAGATTGCCCAGTCCCTGCCTGAGCCTTGTAGCCCCCACGGTACACAGGGGGAACCGAGGCCCAAAGACAGGCCAGAGCAGTCCCCTATGCCCAGTGCTGCCCACGCTACCTGCTTCAGCTGCCCTCTGGGGTGGGGAAGGGGGCCTGGGGGGAGAGCAGCTGGGTGCTCCTCACCCACTTCCTTCCAGCTCCTTATTCAACAAACAGGGAACTGGGTCTGTCCCTCACCCAGGCTTTCCCGGGGTCCCCAGTCCAAAACTGAGCCCCACAGACCAGCTCCCCTTGCTGTGTGACCTTGAGCAGACTCCTTTTCCTTTCTGGGACTATTTCCGTGTCCACGTTGGGGCTTCTGCAGGCCACTTGGTTAGAAGAGTCTCTTGAAGAAGGAAGTTCCAGGTTATTGTCAACCAGGTGGGAGCTCTTGGGTCGCCCTCTTTAGGGGCCACGATCCTTTCAGAAGGCGCAAAGACCACGGTGCTGCCGATCTGTCATCGTTTTTCAGTTGAGGCGAAGTTCACATGACATATAGTTCGCCATTTTAAAGTGAGAAATTCTGTGGCATTTAGGGCATTCACAGTATTATGCAACCACCACCTCTATCTCATTCCAGAACATTCTATCACCCTAAGAGGAAACCTGGTCCCACGAGCAGTCACTCCCTGCCCCCCGCCCCCAGCGCCCTGGCAACCGCCCATCTGCTTTCTGCCCCTGCACCTTTGCCTCCGCTGGACACTTCGTGTAAGTGGAATTATACAGGGGAATCATTGTCCTTTTGTGACTCACTTCTCCCCCTCAGCAAAATGTCCTCAAGGCTTATCCACGTTGTAGTGCGTGTCAGTGCTTCACTCCTTTCTGTGGCTGAGTGATAGGCCGCTGTGTGGACCTGCCACGTTTGTTCATCCGCTCGTCCCCTGAGGGACGCTCGTGCTGTTTCCACCTTCTGGCCATGGTGACTAGGGCAGCCTCGAGCATGGTGTGACAACTCTCTTTGGGTCCCCGCCTTTGGCTTTTTGGGGTATAAACTTGGGAGTGACATTGAGGATCATATGGTAATTCGGGCTTAATTTTTGAGGGATTTCACTGATTTTTATAAGGTTAAAAGGTCATGGCACCTGGAAATACTGTGCCTGGAAATTTCTGGCAAGTTCTTTTGGATGAGCTCTTTCCTCTGTGCCCACCTGCCCCTCCCATCAGCCCCTGCTCTGCCCCGACTGACCACAGTCCTCCCAGGGACCCCAGCCCACCAACCCCCTGCCCGCCAAACCTCAGAGCAGTGACTATACACTGCTTCACATCCACACACCTGCATACTTTCTTTTTAAGATTTTATTTATTTATTTGAGAGAGAGAGAGAAAGCAGGGGGAGGAGCAGAGGGAGAAGGAGAAGCAGACTCTGTGCTGAGCGCAGAGCCCGACCTGGGGCTCGATCCCAGGACCCTGAGATCATGACCTGAGCCGAAATCAAGAGTCCAACGCCCAACTTACTGAGCCCCCCAGGTGTCCCTGACCCACACACTTTTAATGCTACTGATAGTTCGTGTATTTAAAATCTACCCAATTTTTTGTTCGCTTAAGTGACTATGTATATTCACTTTTGGATCGAGATTATAACAGGCAGCAAAATGTGTCCAATACTCAGATCTTGTATGAAGACTGATGCATGTTTACCTCCGTGTGTTCAGATCAACACAGAACACCCACCCCCATCCACCCCACCCCCACAGGCTCCCTCTGGAGGCCTCCCAGAGGGAACCACGGGGCCGTCAGCAAACACCACTGCTTCGTCTCCCCTGTTCTTGAATTTAGACAAACACAATCCCACAGTGTGTCCTGTTTCGGATCTGGCTGTTTTGGCTCGGCTCTGTGCCTTTAAGATTTGTCCACGTCCTGGGGCGCCTGGGACTCACCGGCACTTAGTGTTAGCAGACTTTTTCACTGCAGCCCTGCTGGGGGTGCTGGGGTTCGTGCACATTCCAACCCCACTGCAATCCGGACCACTGGCCATCGTTCAGGCGCCAGTGGTGTGAATCCAGTGGGG